GTAGTTTATTTTTTTAAATCTGACTAGGAAGAAAACTTGAATCTATTATAAGTCTTCCAGATAAATATGTAACCCAGGAGTTTCCTCAGATATGGGTATTCTGCAGCAGAGTGAGAAAGTACTCAAACTCCACTGATACACCACTACATTCCTAGTGAAATTTCCTTTTCCTTATCCCCAAAAGATAAGCTCGCAATCTTTTTTAAAATTTCGAGAGCCAAATGACATCAATAAAAGCTTGTTCCACTTAAGTAACTTTTAAAATTTACATTTAAAGCTTTGCCTTTACTCCCAGAATAGATTACTTATAAAGTTTAAGATATTAGTGAAGAGAAAAGCTGTTGTTCAGTTACACAGGTGACATGTGAAAGACTGTCGAGGAGCCTGGACTTAACTTGATCCAATAACCAGAGTGAAAACAAATGTTTATGGTTCTCAGCCATATTGACAACATTTTTCCTGTTGCATGCTGTTACCTCAGGATGCTTAGTCCTCAAAGTTACACCAAAAATAAAAACAAAGCTCTTTCAGAGAAATAGAAATAATAAAAATGATTCATATAATTCAATGGACTTTTAAAAATTATTTTGGCCTTTCATCAGGAAAAAACCCAACCAAACAAGAAGAGAAAGTTTAACTACTCCCTACCCCCAGAGTTATTACTCAAAAAACATAGCTCTAAAACAGTATCTTGATAAGCCAGACTCTTTATTTCTATTATTTAGCACAGTGCATTTAAACAATTTACTATGGGAGGAAAGCAAGCTGTCTTGCAGAAAGTTCACCGTATAGATTTGTTGGGTATGTATTTAAAAAAGAACCAAACAAAAACCCAATATTAATCTGTAACTGAAATGCTTTCAGGCAAAGCTTTCTCTGTGCAGAAGAAAAAAAGAAAAAAAAACCTGAGAAAGTAACAATAAAAAAAACGTAACAACAAAACCTCACCTTTCCTGGCCATGGAGGATACCGGCCCAGCTTTCCCCTAGAGAAAAATTAAAGTATTAGGCACTAGAATCAGAGAAAAACAACTATCCCACATATACTTTTTCCGTTACATCATATTTTTCATATTAAGAGTGTTACAACTTAGTCAAAACTTACCATGAAAGGCAAGACACACAGCTGACACACAAGCATTGTATAGTTAGGTAACTGCACCTAAACTAAGCTTTTAAACAGTCTACACGAACGCGCTACACTATCAGAATTTAAGTGAACAGAACAGCAGCAGCATAGCCTGGAAGACACAGTGCTACAGTGCTTGTAACTCTTGTAAGACTGGATATTCCCTCACAAAGAGCTGAAAAAAGTATTGATGCAGGCAGTCAAACCGAAGTTCATGTTGCTAACTTATATCCATCTGGACAGAACAGTCTAGTGAGCAGAGAGCTGAGATTCTTAGAAGTTCTCACAGGAAAGCATTAATGGCAGGGTCCTCTTAACAGGTGTTCCATTATCTCTGTCTTCAGGTGCTTGCCACCACAGTAAGACATGCTAAATATATAAAAGAGCCATAAGGAAGGCAGAAAAGTTTATTTCCTATGCTGCAAATGTTTCTGCTACGAAAACAACACAAACCTATTTCTTCATAGAGGAGGAAGAGACAAATTAGTCTTAGCCCTCAGCATGGTGGCTTCACCATTATCTTACCTTTGTCACAAAGGAAGCAGTACTCTCACAAAACCTTATCAATCATTGTCTTCGCAAGAGACCAGTAAAAAAAAAAAAACAAACCATGTGGAGCCTGCCAGCTCCTGAACCAAAAATTCTCAGCAAGTGGCACTGCAGCTCCTCCTGCGATGGCAACACTACACAGACAATTCAGTAGCAATGGTCAGGCAAAAACACTGCCAAGAGCTGTAGCTGTGACCATGTCTCATACTCGATGCTTCCATTCTTATTCTGAACAAGACAAGCATCAAAGCTGTTCATACATTACTGTCTTATTGTTATAATTCTTCTGCAACAGCTGTAGGAATAGTACCTGTCTAGGTGGTCACGTACAAAACCAAAGCAGGATAATCTGCATTTCAACACCGAGAACAGCACACTCCCTTAAGAGCGCTAAAAGGAAGCAATCTTTACTTACTTTGCTATATAAATTAAACAAATTCATAGTACTGTCAATTTTTCAGATGAGAAACTACAGTTGCCACAGCCTGGCACAAGCATTTCTTTTTATCTGGCATATAAATATACATGCGTGCACTTGCATTTTAGGGATTAGCTATTTCGTGCAAGCCCTAGCACGTCACCCTAACCTATCAAGTACAGTGGAGCCCATGCACTTAAAAATCAGTGCTTACAGAGCTCGATGGAATCCCCTCAGTTCTCCTGATTAGGAAATACAAAAGTCACAGCACTGTGACTATTCGAGGGTAAAAGTGGAGTGACAACAGGAAATGGCTTCTGTAAACTCCAACAGGGACATCCTAACCTGCAAAAAACCACTGTTTTCCCGGATTGTTGTGTTGCTTCGTCAAAGCACTGCCAAGAAGCACTGCTCTCCCTAAACACCTACCAACTTATTTATGTGCCTTTCCAGCTTCCTTGGGAGGAGGCTGTATTTCCAACCGAGCCCCACGATGACTGCCCCTCTATCCTGCTCCCATCACACCCTTCCATCTTACACGGGTTCTTTTCTGCGTCGCCTGCCGTTAACCTCCGGTGCCGGCCGAGCTAAGAGCCGAGCCGCCCGCCCTCGGCCCGTGGCCTCAGACTGCCTCCCGCCGCCCCTCTCCCCTCCTCACACCGCCCCCGAGGGATGGCGGCGGCGAGACCCGCCGCCCGGCCCACGCCCCGTCAAACCGCACCTCGGAGTCCTCCGCGGCCACAGGGTGACAGCTCTCGGCCCAGGCCGCCTCGGCTCGGCCGCGCCGCGCTCCTCCGGGCCGGGCACAGCCCCTCCGCCTCCCCGCCCGCGCTTCCGCTGCCACAAGCGGAGCCTCAGCCTCGCTCCCTAAGGCACCGCAAGAACTGTCTGCCCTACCGTCCGCCGCCACAGCCAGCCCTGCCACCGCCCGACCTGCACCGCCACTCACCACACCAGGTCTCCGAGCCTCAGACTCACGGCCGCCATCTTACCGACAGAGCCAACAGCCGCACCGCGCAAAGGCCGCTGGGACAGGACGGCACCCGCTGCGGGGGAAGGGAGGGGTACGACAGCGGGGATTGGGCAGCCCTCATCACGTGGGTGGGCGGGCCGTCACCGGCCCCGCCCCCGAGGCGTGGCTGCGGCTGCGGCGTCGATTGGACGCCCCGTGTCGTGATGACGTTGGGCGGGCGCGGGGTGAGGCGGGGTCTGCCGCGGGCCCCGCCCGCCTCAGGAGCGGCCGGTTGGCCCCGCCGGAGCTGCTATGGCGGGCGGCACCCCGCTGTCTGGGCGGCACCCCGGGGGCGAAGGGGCTCGATGGGACGTGCTGCTGGGGCTGCCCGAGGCCGGCTGGGAGCCGGGAGGCTCCTGTGGGCCGCGCTCGTGTCTCTCGGCTCCGGGGGTGCCGGGTTTAGAGCCGCTGCAGCAGCCGGGGGTGCCGTCTATGCCCGGCTGCCGTGGAGCTGCACGCCTTGTCCCGGTGACACGCTGCTTTTGGTGTTGCCCTGCCTTTCGGCGCGCCCAACTAAGCCAATTTCACAATTTTTCAAGTATTACTGTGTCCTCTTCCACTCTGTGACCCCACAGGAGCCTGAGCGTAGTCTCCTTAAAGAGCATGAGCTGCGTAGACCTAGATTGGAGCCACCCACTCCACCCCCTGGAATAAGTGGTCTAATCGCTCTGTTTTTTCTCCCAGATTTGGGTAGATTGAGGTCGAGTCGATCATATTCTAAATTGGTGTTTGTCGATGCAACCGGGTATATTCTCCATGTTACAAATCCCCTTTTACAAGAGAGGCACACTGTGTTAGGAGAAAACGTCCTGGTTTAAGAGCATTAGTGAACTTTAAAAATGGGTGTTTTACTTGTTGTATAACAGAGACCTCCTGCCCCCCACTTTTCACCCATGCATTGATGTTGGCTGCTGACAAAAGCAGGCTGTGTGTGCCCAAATGCCTTTGGTAAATGACTCAACAGCAGTACTGGGATGGATGCCTTTCCTTCAACATAACATATGGGTTTAAAAAAAAATAAAACAAAACCTTTTTTCCTGACAGGTTTAATTTGCCAGTCTGTAGCCAAACCCCAGGGCTTACACAGCCAGACCTGCACCACTCTCTGCCCTGCACACCCACACTGAGGGCCAGGAGGTGCCTGAGCGGTGGCACCGCTGACTGCCCAGGCCAGGGGCTGCCTCACAGGACACTGTGCACCCCCCGCCCCAGCCTGAGCCGTGGCTCCCGTGACCTGCCCGAGCGACTGCCGCCCACGGTGCTTGCAACGGCTGTGTCTGGTTGTGACGGCGGCGTCCGGCTCCAGGGTGGTTTTGGGGAGACGGGTAACAACAGCCAAGGGCTGACAGGGCAATGCGGCCACCCCAGCCCAGCGCTGCTGCTGTGCTCCACGCGCAGATACGAGGACAGGTCAGTACTGTACCCCTGTAAGTACTGCACAGCCCAGGAGCTCTCCTGCGGGCCAGGACCTTCCCCAGGCAGGGTCACTGCTGGAGACAGAGAGGTGCTGCAACAGATCCTCCATGAGTTGTTTACAGCACGCTGAACTTTGAAATCTCAGCAAAGTGAATTAAAGGACGGGTTGTGCCTGTAGAACCCTCTGGCTATACGCCGGTGAATGTGTCCGGGACCAGGACTGGGTCCAGCCGCGCCCCGGCTCCTCTGAGGCGACGGCCGGGGGTGCTCCGCAGAGCTCGGCTCCCTGACCGCTCCGTGCGGTAACAGCCCCGTGCTCCCGCCCGCCCAGCCGAGCCGCACCTCCGCCGCCCTCACCAGGGGGTTCGGATCTACAAATCCATCGCGGCTCCTCCCCTGGGAGCGAGGCCCCTCCTGCCGCACCCGGCCCGTCCCCCCGGGCGCCGGGGCCGCGCTCAGGCGTTCCGGGAGCTCGGGCGTTCCGCGGGCGGGGCGGCTTCCGGGCGGAGCGGCGGCGGCGCGGCCCGGTTCCGTCTCATCCCATCCCGTCCCCGTCCCGTCGCACGCGCAGCCGGCGCCATGGCCCGCAAGAAGCTGCACCGCCCGATCGCCGCCATGGCCAAGAAGATCCGCGAGTACCGGGCGCTGAAGAACCGGCCGCGGGACTCGCAGCGCTTCGCCTTGGACTACGAGACGATGCGGCGGCCGCTGACCCAGAAGCGGTTGCCGGTGCGGGCCTGGGAGGACGCGCGGAGCGAGCACCGGCTGCTGGCGCTGCTCTGCCGCCTGCCGCGCTTCGGCGTGGGCCGCACCGTCACCCGCAAGTCTTGGCTGTGGGCGCACGACGAGCCCTGCTACTGGGTGATCGCCAAGGTGAAGGCGGACTACACGGCCGAGGTAACCCCCGCCCCCGCCGGCCCCGGCCCCGGCCCGCCTCCCCGGCATCCTTAGCAGGCCCTTGTTTTTCTTGCAGAACATGGATCACGGAAGAGCCTGGGGCTTCCTGACCTTCAGAGGTGAGGCCGGCTCGGTCCCCGCGCACGGGGCTCGGGGAGCGCGACTGCGGGACCCCCCGGGATAGCGGGGGGGCGGGCGGGAGGGCGGCGATAACACCGCGGCCTTCCCGCCCGGAACGGCGCTCCTCTCGTCGGCGTGGGCCGCACCGTCACCCGCAAGTCTTGGCTGTGGGCGCACGACGAGCCCTGCTACTGGGTGATCGCCAAGGTGAAGGCGGACTACACGGCCGAGGTACCCCCCGCCCCCGCCGGCCCCGGCCCCGGCCCGCCTCCCCGGCATCCTTAGCAGGCCCTTGTTTTTCTTGCAGAACATGGATCACGGAAGAGCCTGGGGCTTCCTGACCTTCAGAGGTGAGGCCGGCTCGGTCCCCGCGCACGGGGCTCGGGGAGCGCGACTGCGGGACCCCCCGGGATAGCGGGGGGGCGGGCGGGAGGGCGGCGATAACACCGCGGCCTTCCCGCCCGGAACGGCGCTCCTCTCGGACCGGCTGGGGGGGAAGGACCTTCCCCGAGTTCCAGCTTCAGCGGCCGGGGTCCGGGTGAGGGGAGGGGCTGGCTGGAGACCTGGAAGGCCAGACACAGAATAAACCCGTGACGATATTCCAGGTAAAATCATCGGTAAAAGAGGAGTGATGGCCAGGTTACTGGGATTTTAAATTAACGCTTGGAGTTGTGAGTGAATTTCCCTTTTTAAAGCTGCTTTAAAATGCTTTGTTAGGCATGTGATTGTCACATACTGGAGTTTCTGAAACATTTCTCATTCAAAGGTTTTAAAGTTGTTGAGTATTTCTAACGTTACATTTCCCAGGGAACTTCTGTAAGTGTAGAGAAAAATTACTCTGGTTCCTTAGGCATGGAAACTGAACCAGAGAAATGAAGTGACATTTTAAATTAAGAGAATTTCAATGATTTGCCTGTAGTCCTTTCAGCCTGTTTCTGTTTTGATTTCTGAGGACAGACGTGGGATCCCATAGTATAGCAGGGAATGCGCCAACTGAACCTTTGAAAACATTCTTTACTGTTGCCCGGTGTAGCGCTTTTGGTACTGGAGAAGAGACGCTTCCTGCGTTTCCCAGAGGGAGTTTGTTGTCAATAGTGTTGTCCACTGGTGTTCATCATCTTTTCTCAGGCAAAACCGAAGAAGAAATGAGAGAGATTGACAAAGTCATGTACCATGACTGGCGTATGGTCCCCAAGCATGAGGAGGAGGCCTTCAAGAAATTCACCCCAGTGCTGGAGGAGACCATTCGGTACCTTCCGTACCCACCTCTGCTCCGAGCCATGATCCTTGCGCAGTGGCAGAAGGAGGGAAAACCCATCACAGAGGAGCCAATGATTGATCTGGGGAAGGTCATGGCCTCTCCCCTTCAGGGTGCAAAGAAATCTGCAGGGACACCAGTATAAAGACTTGTTTTATGTCCTGAGCTTCCCACATGCCCTCACTGCGTGTTAAAAGCACGGCATCTTACAGCAGGACCCCCTTGTCCTCTGTGGTATGCTGCATCCAGGTTTCCTAGCTTTTTCCCCAGCCCTGTGCAGTGACCTCATCTGAAAGGAAAGCTGTAGATACATTCATTATTATTTTTTTTTCCAGTAACTGTGGTCTCAGTCAGCAGAAGAACCTTCTTGTTACCCTGTACAGTCTCTGAGTGCATAGGTCCTGTCATCCAGTTACAGTTCTTTGGAGCACCATTTCCTCTGTAGCCTAAAAATCAGGTTTTTAAACATTTTTCAGATTGGGTCCTACATAAATCACAGAAAAATGACTGAGAATATCACATTATTTTACAGAGCTGTGTACGAATGTATCTACTAATGAAAATAAATATTTTCTTATTTCTACAGCATAGTTCTAAGAAAACTTGGTATTATTTTCAGTGCACAGAGATCATCATTAAGGCCCAAGTGCAGAGCCATTAGTTTGCCAAATACAGGCATTGCATCGGATTCTTCTTCACCGCTGCAGAATCATCTGTGTTACATATGATGGCAGTGAACGCACCGGGAGGAACAGACCATGACTTTAGATCCTAAGCTTATTCACAGCTATCCATCTCTTATTCCCAGAGACAGCTGTCAGGAAATAAATAATTTTAATGCTGGTGATGCAAAGTATACAGGATTGGCTCTTACTATTTGAAGCCCACCGCAAATTACCTCCTGTTCCAGTGCAGCGTGTTGCTGTGAACATTAAAACATGCAACCCCTTAGTGCAATTCTTAGCATTTCATTGTCTCTTGCATTGGCTGTGGATTCTGCTTCTGTGTCAGGAACTGTGGGAAGGTCTGGTCTGGGTGTGGGTGGAGGGGGCACAAGGGCTGTTCTGGTCTGTAACCCTACAGATCAGCTCCCTGCAGAAGCAGCTGTTTAGCTCCCTGCGCAGTAGTAGTCAGGAGGTGCTGCTCCATTTGCTGCAGCATCCCAAGATCACAAGTAGCTTCAAGGGATTTACTGAGGGAAAGCAAAAACTGGACTCTATGCCTTGCCCAGTGCGCACGGCAGGCCTGCAGGGAGAGGGAAACACATGGCCCCAACCACCAGGAAAAACGCTTGTCATCAGCAAATGGATAGACATCGGCTGCCTGGCCTTCCTCCCCAGAGGCTCCTGAAGGATTAAGCTGCTATAGGATACAAGGGAAGGCTTTTCTTACAAGTGAAACGCTGGTCTAGTGATGAAGCGTGAAGGCTGGGAGGGGTTGGCCTCTTGTCCCTCTGTTGTGGCAGAAGTGCAGGAGGCCGTGTGCCAGGGCTGGCTCGCTGGCCTCAGAAGCAATGGGAGAGTCCAGGGGATGGAAAATCCAGAGTGTTGCTTAAGGCACAAACAGTCTGAGGCTGTGAGACTTCCCGCTGCAGCTACTGGAAAAGAGCTGCTTTGGTTTCCACAACCTCTGCCAGGCAGAACTGGTATGGACAATCACTGTCCATATCGTGATTGAGGTGCTATTGAACCAGCGCACAAACCAAGGATGAGTGAGGTGGGACAGAAGGTGTAGATGTGAGTTCGATGGGACAAGCAGAACCATGTAGTCCTCTGTCCTATGTAGGCAGGAGCTGAACACAGCCCGGGCACACGCAGTGCCCTCACCGACACGGCACAGGGCCCCAGTCTGACCACAGTGGGCAGAGCCAAGTGCTGGGAACAGGATCTGTCAACAGGCCCAGACAAGGCAAGAAATAGCCTACAACCAGCACCCGTTCAGGGAGCCCAGCCAAGAGCAAAAGCAGGTGGAGCTAACACACCATAAGGTGTGTATCATACAATAGCTTGGTGGGAACGGACCTTTGAAGATCATCTAGTCCTTGAACCCCCAGGTTCAAAGGGTCCATCTAGGAGCAGCTGGACATGGGCATAGCTCAGATGAAGACTGAAGGCCCCAGATGGTACTTAAATGAGGCTCCTGAGCCATGGGTGGAAGGGGCCCATGTATGGGTGGGGGCCCAGGTGGGGCTGATGACATCACAGCCTGCTGGTGACCTCAGGGCCCTAACACCTCGGGGGGTGTCCTCACATAGAGACCTGGGCAACCCAAAATCATCATCCAATTGAGAAGGTCCCCTTCTGGAAAGCTGTAAAGCCCTGTTTTGCCATGTGGTGGATTCAGTGCCTGGAACATGCTGGGAACTTTGGACTCTCAAACCTGTACATTACGCTCCTGGCTTGTTGAAGGGCATTGGGGTGCTCGTCTGAAGGATGATGGTAGTGAGCGTCTTCCTTAGCCAGACATGGCTGTGCTTCACGCAGTGCCTTGCTCAAGCTGCTCCTGGATGTACTGAAGGGTACAGCCCCAGGGTGGTGGGACGAGTCCCAGGGCTTGTTTCCAAACGTCATTGTCGAGGTGCCTCTAGTAACCCAGGAGGCACTGCCTGCTGTACTTCACTCTGGCCTGCACAAGACTGCAGTGCAGGTGGAGTCACAGAAGTGACTCACCTTAGGGATCCCTTCGCAGGGCAGAAGCTGCTCCTGGAATAAGGAGGTGGCTTCCTCACTGTTACTGCTATCTGCAGCCCTTGAATTAATGCAGTTCTACAAAGTAAATATGAACGTATCTAAGTGCTTCTGGCAGTAAGAGGAACTTGCTTCCTGCAGTGCTGAATGTCACCACTTCCTATAGGGCTTTGTAAAGCACCATCCTGTATTGACAGGGGACATCAGCAAACTGAGCGTTGAAAGCTAAGCCCTGGCAGCTGAGCTGGAGGAGACACCACTGGACAGCCGCAGCAAGCAGCTGATGGTTGTGTTTTCCGCCTTTTATTTCTGTTACTGGGAGAAGCTACAGATTGCACTGTGGCTTGCAGGGCCAGCCCCTTCTGCTCCAACCCAGTAAGCAATCCACATCTTATTTCTTGCCACTAAATTGCTCAACAGCTAACACTTGAGCTGCCATTCCCACCCGTTTAAGTATCCTGCTGTTATTAAAGACTATACAGAAATCCCAGTGCCTTTATAGGAACACAACACCTTGCGCTTGCTGATGTTAACACATTTATTACATACAGAACAGATATGGTTTGTTGTTTGATAGCATAGGGAACAAAGCATGGGGACGTATTCATACAGCAGTCTCTTTACAGAATGCCATCTTCAGACCAAATAGCAGAGTTTACAGGCCTTAAGACACTTTTTAAAATCCTTTTGTAACATACAAGATACTTTACATACATCACAGTGGAGATATGACAGGGAAGTGTGTTGAAGCCAGTCAGTTCTCACCTTGCTGCCCAGCAGCCACCAAGTGCCCACAGGAGCTGACAGCAGAGGCTGGTTCTACTTTGCTGGAGCTGCCCCTTTTGGACATGTGCTTCTCTTGGAGGAAAACACGCACTGGGCTGGAAAGGAACCTGTTGGTAGAGGCCCGAGACTGGTTTCCTTATGTTGCCAGGGCCCAGTGGGTGACAGCAGACCGAGTACTGTCACTTCAACTGCTAAAACCAGATACAGAACAAACAAGAAGAGGTAAGAACGTTGCAATTCTGTGTTTTCCTACGGAAGAGTCGACAGAGCTAAGGAACTGGGCTTACTACAGCTTTTTCTTTTTTGTTGTTCCTTCAATTAGCCTGAATTATGACATTTACCTGGCCCTAACAGATGAACATGTCTGTGGAGCCTGTGGTCTAAATGTTGATCTTGTTAACTTAACTGCACTCTGTGTTACAATCCAAAGAGCTCTTCCTAGCAGAAAGCATTTTGAGAAAGTGAATGAGAAGCCTGGCATGGTCAGCAGCAGTGACATGTCTGGTGAAAGGTCTCCCTGCATGCAGGTGGTGGCTCCGAGCATTCCTTAGCCAAATGCCAGGCACAGAGCCAGGCGTGCCAGTGGCTGGAGGACACCATCCAACAGGTTCCCTACCTCAGTAAAGAGCAGTGTGGGTGTGCGTGTCACCAGCACTGCTCACAGGCAGCATGGGCACCACTGTGGCTTCGTACTTGGGTGGCTGAGGTCTCTCTTCTCCAGTGATGTCCTATTGTTCCAGCCTTTTCTGAACTGTGGATCCAAAAAGCATTTCAGTGCTGCTGCATCAGGACAGATGCCACATGTTAGAGCTTCCCTGGGAATACTGCATCCCTGCAGCACATACATAGCTTTAGACCATCAACCTTGGGGACAGCCTGGTGCATGGTGACAAGCACAGGACACCACTGGGAGCTTCCCAGCTGTCCTCATACTGTCACATTGGCACAAGGACATCCCTGTGAACCCTGGAGTTCTGCACAGCTCAGGGAAGAAACAAGATGACCACCAGGAGCCTCCAAATGCATTGTTAACACCTGCTATGCACTCTAGTCCTACACATCCAGGAGGGAGTGTTCAAAGGAAACAGAACTTGTCCTTGTGGAGACAGGACTGTTTCCACAGTCAGAAAGGGAGGACAAACCATTGCCTCTACATCTGGAGCTGCCGTGTGCTGCATCTGGAGCTCAGAACCACTCTCCCTGGCCTCATTTTTGGCTGTGTCTCTTGTAAGCAGGACATGCATTTGCAATCCCCCAGCACTGTTTACACAAGAAGGACTGTCAGAATTTCTCTTGGGGGGTTGTCAATTCTTTACAGGAGTGAGAAATGTCCAGCTTTTCAAACTGCTTAGTAACGAGGTCGATGCTTACAATGTTGGGTAAAAGAGGTTGGGAGATCTGGCCTCAATTCCTTTTTCTGTGTGACCTTAGGCGAGACACAGCCTTTCTATTCCTTGACCGCACCTACACAGTCTTTCCTAACCAACAGCCACAGTGTGAAGGAAAACAGCCATCTCCTTCCTTCCATCAGTTCCCGGGATGAGGGCACAACCTCATGAGTCACAGTAACCTCAGTGTGTTAATGCAGAATTCACAGCAGACCAACATCATCTGCCCTCACCTGTATTCTGAAAGCCAAAAAATGCTACTCGGAGATAGCTTTCTCCTGAACCTTTCAGAATGAACTCAAGAGTTCTTTTCTGCCTGGCATTTTTAGAAAGGGGAGTTAACGTATTTCTGCCTTTTCTGCTCTTAAAAAAACAAGGTTCCAGTACCCCTTTGCTACCACAGTTTCCAAAGGCCCTGTGGCCTCCACGATCAAACACCTGTCTCCCATCCGAGGCTACCAAACAATCCTCTCTGGACACACACAGTCACCCAGCACACGACTGCTGAGACAACAGCAGCAGAGGAGGGAGACCTTCCATCTCCCAGTACGGAGGATGTGTTCCCCACAGTAATGGCACTGCTGCCTTCTCCAACCAAAGTGTAGAAGTGCTGCCCAAACCCTGAGACTCCTTTCTATTGAGGGTTCATTGAACCTGGCTGCTCTCAGTCTGTGCGACATTATTCTGTGCTTAAGGGTGGATAAGGAGGAGAGTCCACTGGTGAACTAGAAAGGATTTCTGCTAGGGTGCTGCAGAAGTTGTGATTCACCACCACTGCTTTGGCAAGGGATGCCAGGGGGACGTACTTCTTCTCATGCAGGTGGGAATGAGGCAACCTTCCGGAGAACCTGAGCCACCACCCATCAAGCTGCCAGCTCCCGATCATTGGGCAAAGGCTTTACACAGTTCGAGCTCCAAACTTCATTGATGCACTGCCATTTCTCTCCTTGTAGATGCCAACTCCAGAGCAGAACAATAATCCAACCACACAGAAAGTGCACGGGCCCAAGATGAAAGCTGCGAGTTCAGAGGTTAGAAGGGAGTCACAGTCCGAGGCAGGAGCCATTGCAGTTGTCTGGGGTCGGTTTCCAGCAGTAGGTATAATGCAGGCATTCTGTATGTACATTTTGGCATTCAGGTGGAAGGAGGGACACTTACATTGGTGGGAAAGGAGAAATTCTCACTCCGGGATATATGATACTTGCCACACAATAATGTGGCTTCTTTCAGCCTTGGAAAGTACTGGCTTCACCTGGGTGGCATCTCCTGCATTCTCCTCTGTCTCATCATCTTCTCCATCCCCTGAAGAGAGAAAACGAAGAGTGAAAAAGCCAAGAACAAAATCCCAAATTGCACTGCTCTGGAATACTTTCAAAGAGGCTAATATCCCTGCTACAGCCTTGGCAGTCTGACAACAGACAGCACGAGCTGAGACCTTCCTTTATGCCTGGAGAACATTTATAGCAATATGGTGCTTTTTTGAAGCAGGACTGTATGGATGGAACCAACCATCTCCAGCAGTAAGGAAAACCACCTGTCCTTTTGGGGAAGCCAATGTTTACAACACAGAGCACTCTTGAGCAGCATGGGTGACCACAGTGGGGCAGCAACATTTGCAGCCAGTGGCACAGAGGGTTTTATTCTTTCCAGGGCCATTAACGCAGACTTCATGGCACTGCAGGCACAGGCAGAGGCAGAGTTTGGCAGCCTTGTACCGTACAAGGAAAATGCTTGCTATCTGCCCTCACAGCTAGAGGCAGGGGAAACAGAGAGCACTGCTTTTCAGATTTCACTCCCCACAGCAGTGATCCCTCTCTCCACGACCATGGCCCTGCACTCTGACCCCCTCCAGGTGCCTCCCACCACAGGCACTCACCAATCCGGAAATCGATGTACCCTTCTCCTCCACTCAGCACCAGGACGTTCTTCAGCTTCTGCCCCTCGGTCTCTGTGGCCGCTGTGCTGGGGTTCTCTGAAGGGCTGTCCAACACACTCCCATTCAGGGTTGCTAGGACGTTGCCTAGGGGAAGACAGAGTGCTGTCAGTGCCTTTGCTCAGCCCCCGTGCAATTACTTCTCATGCAGGTGGGAATGAGGCAACCTTCCGGAGAACCTGAGCCACCACCCATCAAGCTGCCAGCTCCCGATCATTGGGCAAAGGCTTTACACAGTTCGAGCTCCAAACTTCATTGATGCACTGCCATTTCTCTCCTTGTAGATGCCAACTCCAGAGCAGAACAATAATCCAACCACACAGAAAGTGCACGGGCCCAAGATGAAAGCTGCGAGTTCAGAGGTTAGAAGGGAGTCACAGTCCGAGGCAGGAGCCATTGCAGTTGTCTGGGGTCGGTTTCCAGCAGTAGGTATAATGCAGGCATTCTGTATGTACATTTTGGCATTCAGGTGGAAGGAGGGACACTTACATTGGTGGGAAAGGAGAAATTCTCACTCCGGGATATATGATACTTGCCACACAATAATGTGGCTTCTTTCAGCCTTGGAAAGTACTGGCTTCACCTGGGTGGCATCTCCTGCATTCTCCTCTGTCTCATCATCTTCTCCATCCCCTGAAGAGAGAAAACGAAGAGTGAAAAAGCCAAGAACAAAATCCCAAATTGCACTGCTCTGGAATACTTTCAAAGAGGCTAATATCCCTGCTACAGCCTTGGCAGTCTGACAACAGACAGCACGAGCTGAGACCTTCCTTTATGCCTGGAGAACATTTATAGCAATATGGTGCTTTTTTGAAGCAGGACTGTATGGATGGAACCAACCATCTCCAGCAGTAAGGAAAACCACCTGTCCTTTTGGGGAAGCCAATGTTTACAACACAGAGCACTCTTGAGCAGCATGGGTGACCACAGTGGGGCAGCAACATTTGCAGCCAGTGGCACAGAGGGTTTTATTCTTTCCAGGGCCATTAACGCAGACTTCATGGCACTGCAGGCACAGGCAGAGGCAGAGTTTGGCAGCCTTGTACCGTACAAGGAAAATGCTTGCTATCTGCCCTCACAGCTAGAGGCAGGGGAAACAGAGAGCACTGCTTTTCAGATTTCACTCCCCACAGCAGTGATCCCTCTCTCCACGACCATGGCCCTGCACTCTGACCCCCTCCAGGTGCCTCCCACCACAGGCACTCACCAATCCGGAAATCGATGTACCCTTCTCCTCCACTCAGCACCAGGACGTTCTTCAGCTTCTGCCCCTCGGTCTCTGTGGCCGCTGTGCTGGGGTTCTCTGAAGGGCTGTCCAACACACTCCCATTCAGGGTTGCTAGGACGTTGCCTAGGGGAAGACAGAGTGCTGTCAGTGCCTTTGCTCAGCCCCCGTGCAATTAACACAGACAGACAGACAGACACACACACACAACTGGGCAGGCCAATTCCTTCCGCTGATGAAATCTGGAAGTCAGTGCAGTTTTAACTACTGATGTCTGAGCTACAGTGACCTGCAAGCACTAGAAATGGCATGGACAGCCATCTGCTGCAGATCAGCTCAAGCTCCTCCTGCAGAATGGACAGCGGGACAAGACCCTCACAAGGAAGGGCTGTGCTCATCCTTACCAGGTACAGAGACGAAGAACTTGACAGCATCACGGTGGCCGTGGAAACAGAGCTGTGCCTGAGCCATGGAGCAGTAGGGAATGAAGCTGCTGGCAGATTTGTCACTGTTATCATCACCGTACACGTGGATGACCCCGCCAGAGCGGCTGCCCTCTCCAGAGGTTGGAGAGGTCTTGTTGGCTAGGGACAGGGAGAAGGAATATTGTCAGTGATAGCTTAGAGTCCTATTTACAGAAGGCACTTAATCAAAGAGAAAACTAATGAGCCACGAAGAAAAACCTTTAAAGGTATAGGTCTCTTTAAAGGTATCAGGTAAAGGATGTGATGGAGGACACCACACTGGACTATACACTCCCTCTCTCTTAGGCTGGTAGCAATCTACCCATGATAGCGAACTAAATTTTCTCATCAAATCTAGTATTTGGCTACTAATGAGGCACACATCCTTGGAGGCGCTGGGAAAGAGTGAAGCTAGGGGAAACTAGACAAGGTCTCTCACATGTCCCATTGAAGGCCTCGTCACCAGCAGCAATCCTATCCAGCCTCCAGAAACCACCTGCTGTCCTAGGATCAACCTTGGTCTTTTGCACCTGGCAGGGTGTGCAAAGGTGCCCACTCTACCCGTGAAACATGAAGGGCACCTGGAGGAGAATTACTGCTATTTTCTGGATTGGTGAAATTGCTCAGTTTCCAAGTCAAGTCCTTTGCTTATGCCAAGCTGTGAACACACAGGCTGCTGAAAGCAGTCTCTGAGTCTGGTGAAGGTCTCTCAGCCCAGTAAATGTCACAGCAGTGGAGTGAAGTCCTTCTTTATTCCTTGATTTATCCATGACACCAGAAGATCAGCTACTCAAACAATGAACAGCTGGAAGATGTTCACCATCCATAGCTTCCAAGGATTTCAGGGTGGACTTAGGGGTCAGCATCCTTCATGTCCAGGCTCTGAGAATGTGAATGCTTCCACTCACCAAGGAAGAGAGACCAGTGCTCAGAGCTCAGCATGGAAGATGCTTTCCTTGCACATGCACCCACATCAATGGTTGCAGAAACAGTACTAAAATCAGAAGGCTTTCACTTTCTCTGAGAGAAATTGATTGCTTCCTTAATTATCTGAAGTTCTGTATTTTGGCTTGGACTAGATTTCAATTATTAAGTCACTTGGACAAAGCAGACTTTTATCTATCAGGCTCCAGCCAGGATGGCGAGACAAGCACGAATATTTTGAGGGAGGAATGAGAATCACTGTGTGCAGGGGGAAGATCCCCACGATGAAGGCTCTCTGTACCTCTGTGCTTCGGTTTGCTATGGCAGTTACAACTGGATGAGTTCATCCGATTGACAAGACAGGGCTGGTACTAGCATTTCTTGCTCGGTATCTGGCTTCTTACTGCAACCAATAACAGATGCTTTAAAAGGAGGAGATATATATTGATAAGGCTTCTGGACAGTGACAGAAATGTCTTACAATGAGAAAAAAATACTCCTTTCTGACCCTGGAAATGCTAAGGTAAGCATAAATTTGAACTCAGACCCTGCCTTAACTGGCACAAAACCAAACAATTCTTAGTGTTTATTGAAGTCCCCTCTGGTTTAAAGTCTTGGTTGATTACTTGCAGCTGGCAGGTACCACAGCACCTACTATCTTTCGCCTGGAACTGATGAGAGAAGGTTCCTTGAAACACTAAGGATAACCAAGGAAGACCTTGGAAGACCAGTCTACTCCTGCTTCCTGTGACTCTCTGAAGGAATGAAGCTTCACAGTCCCCACCTCAAACCTGGCCTACCACAATGAGGGAACTACTGATGAATAATAAAGTACTCTTGACATAAAAAAAAAGCCCAGAGGGATGGCTGATGAGATGGATGAAAATGTTTTTAGCCATGAGAAATGAAGATATTTACATAACTGTCTTTGGTCACTTTTCTCAGACGCAACTTAAAAGAGTGATGAGGAACAATGGATGGAGAGAGCTGAATGGCAGGATGGAAGGGTGGGAAGGTGACTGCAAAGGTGAATGGGTGCAGAAGGAGTGAAGCTGAAGGAAGGAGGCAATGGACTTACCCCGGAGCCCAAGGAGTTGGCCTCGGTGGAGGACTACAGCTAGGCACAGGCAAGGAGTGGGAACACAGAGGGGCACGGGAAGAGACAGGCAGGATGGGAAAAAAGAAAAAGGTGATTACTGGGAGAAAATTGAGGGAGCAACAGAAACATATAAAATCTAGAGAAACCGCAACAAGAGCTACAGGCTTGAATCAGTTTATACCAACACTGCTCTTGCTCACTTTGCTCTTATCTTACAAGTACAAATGTAATATCTGAGATAGGAGAGGGACCATGGTCACAAGGATCCATTGCTAAATGTTCTAGTGAGACCTCATCGCTTACCATGTTTTTACAGAAACACCAAAAGATAATGCAAGTGGTTTACAGCAGGGAACAAGCTTAACTCAGAATTAGGACAGTAGCACCAAGAAGGAATGGGCATTAAAACAGGGATTCAGAAACGAGACCAAGAATGCAATGCGCAAAGACAACTCTGTCACTGGGTTCCTGGAGTCAGCCCTGGGTACATCCAGCTCAACTAGCCTTAGAGGAGACCATCTCAGCCCTGACTTCCAGGAGGACTACAACAGGTTTGCTCCTCTGATACAAGAGCCATTTGCTTTTCAATTTCCTGCTAGCAGTGGTGAGAAAATGTATATTTGGCTGCTTTCTGTTGAAAGCAAGTGTAATTGGCCTCAAATCCTACTCCCTCATTATAATCTGGAACACACGTGTGCAAAATTAGATGCTGACTGGCAGGTACAGAACAGGATTACTAAGAGCTTCGACTGAGCTTCTGAGCTCCAGAGATGCACCTATTAACTACTACTGCTGGGTTTTCTCACCAGGTTGGATTTGGCATAGGATACTGATTTCTACTTGACTGATAAAGCTGAGCCCTAACTTGAGTCAATGAAGCTTTTCTAAGGTCAGTGTCTGGAAAATACTGTTACTGAGACATTTAGATGTCTATGCCAAACCAAAATTTCCAGGGAGATCTTCCTGGTAACTTCTCATCCCATGGTGTCTTTTTGGAGACTTACTACAATTCCCAAAGCTTTGTTTCTCCTGCTTTCCAGTAGCAACAGAATCAGTTCACATCAGTCTGCTCTGTCAAGGTCATGCTCAAAAAAAGAAGACTCTACAGATGGTAGAGATGTCATTGGTCCCCTAAGAAGGAAATGGCTTCTGCTGAACTGAAAGGGACAGAAGCAAATATCTATAAACAGGTTAAATCCCTTCAACTGAACACTTAATTCTTTAATAAAGAAGGGTTAAACCAAGTTCAGGGTTGCTCATACTCAGGGCTCCTCTCTCTGAACACTGCAATGATCAAAGGTGTGTCAGGTTCAGAGTAAAAATGTCTGGAAAGCATTAGCCTGCCAGAGCCATCTGCCATGCTAAACAAATGACACTCAAAAGGGAGGTACACAGAAGTATCTCCAATAAATGTCACTTACTCTCAGTCAATGGAATGGAGATGACAACACCATTCCCTGTCCCTACCCAGAGGCGGTTGCCAGCGATGAGCAGGGCTGTAATCCGCACGAATGAGAAGCCCAGCTTTCCAGTGCCTAGTAAGAATGCATAAGAATTGGAGAGTCAGTTATGACTTTGGGCAAGGTCTGCTAATGAATTTTGATTTCTCCCTGATCTCAGGAAGCAACAGACCATTTAATGACAGTCCCTACTGCCTCACCTAGCATCTTGCTGACGTAAGGCTCAATGTCGACATCTTGCAGATGTTGATGGCTGTGGGCGTGGTAAAGTCTCAGAGTGGAGTCCAAGCGGATAGAAACCCATACTCCATCTCCAATCCATGCCAGCTGTCGCACCTGACTCTCCCGCCGAGGGTGGGCGTCAAAGGATTTCTGAAATGCCAAATTGGTGGATCAACATGAGTTCACAAAAGGTTTGCAATTACCTACACACATACTCCATTTTCGTCAAGTGGGATCACTTCTTTGGGTTTCAAAGCTCTTGCAGAAAATGTGTTAATGCTAGCTGATCTCAGAGGTTCACTACAGTAGACAGAAAAACCCTTGCTTGAAATAATGAGTTGTACAGCTGCTCTGCAGAGTTTACGGTCTTTGCAGACCACTTCAGGAGCAAGAACAATCAGAAACCAAGAGTTTCAATGTGCTTGGTAGAAAAAGAAAGCACATAACCCCAGGATAAATTCCACAGATCAAACTGCATTGGCTCACTAATGTGAATGTCAGATTCAGCACTTCTCCCTTTGATTGGAATTATTCCAAGCACTGTTAAATTGGTTTGTACCAGCACTGCTGTACTGAATTTCAACCAAAAGGCTCTAAACGTCATTTTTTTTATTAGACAAGTGGATCACTGGGGCTTGCTTACACTTCCTTTGTGCCACAATGCCTACAGATGGAGAAGTCTTAGACTCTATACGAAGGGTAGCTGTAAAGCACGCACGCACATTTGTACAGTTCCTGGCCTCACAGACTCACTAGTAAAGGCATAGAAAGTGCTCAGTTTAGACTTATCTAAAGATTTAACCTCTGCAAAGGGAGGAAGGAAAAAATACTCCCCTGGCAGAGTGGGTCATAACATGAGCCAGATTGACAGTTTGGGTCCTACAGTCAGCAATGACAATATGAAGGTTCTGCATTTCCATACACTGCAGCACAAAACAGTTACAAGAGTAAGTACAGCACAAGCATGTGCATTCATACACACACATGTGCTCTCTTACCTCAATCTGCATTGTCTTAGGCTGGATAACATGGATTTTGTTCTTGTAGCCACACCAGACTCTATCATACACAACAGCCATGCAGCGGATGGAATGGTGAGTGTGACCGAGGTCCATTAGGTGGTAATTACTGAGATCCCACTGACCATCTAAGGTGAAAAACAAGTGTGGAAAGATGCATCTCCTTCACCACACGTCAGTATACAATAAAATCATCTACTTTTCCATGTATATCTATGTATATAGGCTTAGCTAATACTCAAATGTTCGTTTGTTTATGTCTGGGAACTTCCCATGAATCCATAATACTACTTCAGGCACAACCTTATACTTACAAAACACATGACAATAAAGCCTAGTTTGGTGGGATGCAAGCTCTCCAAATCAGGCTAATTTAAACATCCTTTTATAGTAATGAAGTGAACAGGCTTCTCTAACAAGTGAAACAAAAATAGCAGGGGAAGAAGAAAGACAGCCTAAGAAGACTATGCGGAAACTTAAAAGGAAATGGACCTTGTGGTGAGGCTCCCTCATATCACAGACGGACAACATAATTTCCCCAAAGTGTCAAACACAGGACGAGGAATCAACCTCCCTTCTCTCATGCCTATTTTGAAACTAACCAGGCAGATACTGTGTCCCTCACAGACAAGTGGCTTCTATGTCATGAAGCTTTATCCTATTTCCGATGGGAACAATTTTTATGTGTCAGTGGTCAGGCTTGAACTCATGACAAAGGCTGAATCAAATTTCCATTGCACAAACCCAGAACTCTCTGTATTTCAGCTTGCTGGATAAACTGCTACTCAAAGAATAACTAAGTTCTTAATATGCAAACATTAGTCAGAGTTAGCAAATTCCCATGTGCTTTCAGGTATGAACACAGCTAGGAACTGTTCAAGTCACAGGGAAACAAAACCTACAACAGTGAAGAGGACAAGAAACACAGAATTCAAAAAATATCTTGAAGTGACAAAATTAAGGCATGTCAGATTACTCAGACATCTCTTTTTTGCAACAAGAAAAACTGACCAAGTACAATGCAAAGGCACCATTTGTTTGAGATTTCCAGACTTGCAGAGAATCCCAGCTCTGCCTGCTGCGTACGCAGTGATCAATTCCACTACCTATACTGGATCCAGCTTCTCTGGGAAGCAGCAGGCCTATTTGCAACTGCACAGATAATCTGCTTGGGTACAGCCTGAGCTGTGCATGCCCTGTTACCGTTGATTTGTGATTGCACAGGAACACCAATATGCCCCAAATGCATTAAATTTAACAAGCATGCCTCAAACAACTGCATAGCATATGTATTCCTAAAAGTGTTGCATTTACTCTGCATGTGCTACACAGAACATACACACACACACAGTTTTGTTTAGAAAAGCTCAGGAGATGGTGTTAAAGTATGCCTTAGATGTTTTAGGATAAGGATTACATGTGTATAATAGCTATGCATTTTAACCATATGTTTGTGCTCTGGCAAACCAGCACCTTTCCTTCTTGACCCAGAATAACGTCTAATCCATTGTTACACTTTCAGCCATGTTTGGTTTTCTCTTATTGCATTGATTCTTACCTTCTCCCCGATGGAATATGGCTAGTGTTCCATCTGCCAGAGCAACAAGCACCCTCCCTTTCACATGCCTGAAATCACAGAAAAGCAAGTCTTTTAAAAGTCTGTAGAAAGAATGGACTAACAAATCCTTTATGCCATCCATGCACACCATCTTTATGTTCTCTTTACAATTCCCATTCAATTTAGCACTTGCAGGAACATCCTGCAAGGGCCGAGGGTCACACCTTTTACCTTCGTTGTAGTAAGATCAACCATAAATTTCTATTGAGGTTAATTTCTCCTTCTACACTGTAAACTCCATGAATTTCAACAAATTTCACATAATTTACACCCCAGTGAAATTTTGCCTTTCTCCTCCCTGTGATTTCCTCCGATACTGCTAATCTCTTTTAGTACCTTCTTCACTGAATTGGCTCAGCTCTGCAGTTGACTATGAATACAGCTCAGTATGAGGCTTTCCAATACTCAAGACCTTGGGAAACTTTCCTCATGAAACAAGGCACTTAGAAGAGCAAAGGAAAAGATGACTGATAAAGAGCTGCTACCCCCGTTTAAATGCCACTTAGGAACTGAACCTTCTCCTTCAGTGTCCCTTGGCATGCACACTTACACTAGACTCAGTACAGAGTCCTTCAGCTTTATCGAGTGCAGACACTTCTTCCAGTTGGATACAGCCGAGTGCACATAAAGCCTGTGAGAAAGTAAAAACAGGGAAGGTTAGCAACAAGGCCCCACACCTTTAGCCTGACTAGGCTCGAGTCTTTTCTTCTGGTAGGAAAGGTGGAGGTTAGGCAAGTGAGGTTGAAGCCCTCTGCCTATGATCAACTGAGGGCTCAGATCAACAACGAACAACAGAAACCTACTCCAGAAACAAGAAGTGAACTAAAGGTGCGTGGACATGAAAAGCAGAGCCCAGAGAACAGAGGTGACAGGGAAATCTGCCAGCCCAAGGGGAACCTACCAGCCATTCTGTGCTCCCAGCCACATGGTGGGCGCAGCACTGGTGCAAGTCCCAGCAGAATCCCCATTCAGCTCCTGATCTGCCAGTGTTGTGCTGGACTCTGTCTTCAGCTGCCCATTCTCCCTGAAGAGGCGAAAGAACACTGTTAGAGGCTTTAGTAGCAGCAACACACAGAATGCTCATCTACGCTCACAGTCTGGCATTCACAAGCAGACAAGGGCCCCTGTATACACAATGACTTTCTTCTCAGTGTTTTTTAATTGCTTGACTCCTGAATCTGCAAAACTCCCTTTTTCCCCCACCAATACAAATAGCAAGTAGTTCAAATCTATAGAACTTAACTTAGTGTTTGGCAGTACTATTACATAAACAATATTTTCTCTGTTCATTTCCAACTTCTGCAGAAACAACTTAGAACAACTTGGTAATTTAGGAACAATTTCTGTCCAAGACTTCCACCCTGCTCCTCAGGCCATCACATCAGACTCATTTGTCTTAAGAATTTTTGGGTGATGACAATGCTTTCTTCATTATCTTTACAGCACATTAGGGGTACTACTAGAACAAATCAATCATCTTTTTACACATGAATCAATAAGCTCCCTCAGTAAGAACATTAAGTGTACATGTACTTTTGAAGATCTGTCTTAACAGCAGGTTTCAATTCATACTGAGAGATCAAATATTTGCACTTAAACAGTGGACACAGTCTGCTGCAGGCTGAACTATATTTATTTTCATTTCCTTTCTTTCTCTCCCTGTCATCCCACCTGTAATACTATTTGGGCACAAAACTGAAAACAGTTTGACACTTTATCAGAAGATCAGGCTGGTTCTCATATCAAAAAGCCTATGAAAACAGAGCTTATAAATAACTGAGCTGGCACTTTGGCCCTAGACTGCCTACCCATTCTGCATAAGAGGTGCGGGTGCAGGGACTGGATCTGTGAACACGTGCTCCGTGAGGGTCCCAGGCCGGGCCTGAGCAGGCTCTGCCTCGCTTGTACTGTTCTCAGGTACCTCCGTAGCTTCTGTTGCCTCCTCAGTAGACTGGGACTGGTTGATCTTCCCATTGCAGACAGCAGCCACCTCACCTAAAAGATAAAGAACAGTGTGAGGCATACTGGAGCTGGTAAGTCAGCTAAACAGAAATCAGGCTGTCGATATTTTAATTTATCTTTCCTTGCCAAATTCAATCAAGCCCTGAGCCTGCACCACAGACAGCAGCTCACCCAGCGTTTTCTGCTTGGATGGGGAAAAGAGGCTACTTTAAAGTATGCACAATCTGTGACTAGCGAAACATCAGCAGTTCTCCAGGGCTGCTCACTGCGGTATTGAGTCAGCCCACCATTACGGCTTTCATATGGGCTTAACTGACTCCACAAGAAGGCATTGTTCAGAAGAGAAAGCAAGAAGAACAGAAGCAATCGTAGCAGGGCAAACATTACCTGTCCAAAATACTCTGCTATATGACCACTGCAACCAGGCTGCAGGATGTGGATCACTCAGAGAGAAAAGGAGTGCTCTAAAGAGAAATGTACCAAAAGGGCCTTCGGTCTTCCTGTACCACATTAAGAAACTTCTTGAGGCCTCTGAAGTAGTTAACTCAGGGACAGGAGGATGCAGCTGTTAAGAGTGTAAGCTCATATGGTACTAGCTATAATTGGACTACCATTAAGTTTTATGTCCCAAAACTCACTCTGTCCCTTGTCCAGCACAGGTGTGTCACCACGTGAGGAACAGTTGCTTCGTGGCACATTGCATCGGGTCGCACAGCCCACCAAAGTGATTCCTGCCAAGACACCATCTGTTCCAGACGACTCTTCAGGATTTACATCTCCCTCCAGAAAGATCTCGCCTGGAGGATAATCATTCTCACTGGCCGCTGAAGGGCAAAGAACAGATTCTCCCATAAATCTAGATGTCACCACAAATTTAAATGTAGCAGTACTTCTGAGGTAACCATATCAGGGTTCACTACCCTGGGGAGGAACAACAGCACCAGTCAACATCATGGCCAATCCCCTCATCCCCAGCACCAACATCCAGGTCAGCTACCAAGCCCTCCCAAAACTGGGCAAGGCTCACTCTTGCTCCCAGAACCATCCTTTATGTCCCAAGGGAACAACTTACTAAATGTTCAACAGTGAGGGATATCTCCACAGAAAGGTCCTACAAGAAAGCCAGATCTGAGTTACGGTTTTGAGGGACAATTTCAGAATGCAGCAGGGTCCAAGGATTAGTTCTGAAGTGAGGACACTACATTTGTCACTCCTCAGTGGAGCAGGTGACCCTGTGCAGATCACAGCCAGTGCCTGGGCCCCACTTACCAGGGATGCTGGAGATGCAGAGCACATGAGCATTGCAGACAGTGAACTGGTCCACCACTGTGCCAGGTTGATTGGCATCAATAATTACAACTTTACTTGTTGACAGTGTACTAGTGACTATCCAGAGACGACTGGATGTGGCATCCATTTCATGAAGCTCCTTTGCCTTCAGAAGAGTGAAGACATGGGCAGAATCAGAGCTCCTCTCAGATCAGACTGAGCGTATTAGTGCATGGCAACATTTACACATGCAAATCACAGAATCACAGAATCACATGGGGTAGGAAGGGACCTCTGGAGTTCATCCAGTCCAGCCCCCCTGCCAGAGCAGGTCCACCCACAGCAGGTTGCACAGGAACGTGTCCAGCTGGGGTTTGAATGTCTCCAGAGACAGAGACTCCACCACCTCTCTGGGCAGCCTCTTCCAGGGCTCTCTTACCCTCAAAGTAAAGAAGTTCCTCCTCATGTTTAGATGGAACTTCCTATGCTCAAGTTTGTGCCCATTTCCTCTTGTCCTGTCAAGAGGACACCCCTGAAAAAAGACTGGCCCCTTCCTCTTGACACTCACCCTTTAAGTATTTAAAGGTGTTGATCAGCTCCCCCCTCAGTCTTCCCTTCTCCAGACTAAAAAGACCCAAGTCCCTCAGCCTTTCCTCAGCAGAGAGATGCTCCAGGCCCCTCATCATCTTTGTGGTCCTCTGCTGTACCCTTCTCCAGGAGTTCCCTGTCTTTCTTGAACTGAGGAGCCCAGAACTGGACACAGTACTCCAGACGGGGCCTCACCAGGGCTGAGCAGAGGGGGAGGATGTCCTCCCTCGACCTGCTGGTCACACTCTTCCTGATGCATTCCAGGATGCCATTGGCCATAATACCACAATGCTGGCTTCAAAAACCCATGTATCTTCCTAGCTGATGCAAATAAACAATATGAGCTATGCAAATTTCATTCACATTGCCGCACTAGTGTCCGGAACACTGGCCAAAGAGCCTATCTGGCTCCTTAGGGCAAGAGGAGTTTGGCCACTCATTTCTCTTCTGAGAAGTATCAGTGAACATTCACTTTAGACAATACCAAGGAGCTGGGGTGCACTCAACCTTGGCCAGCTTAAGCAAGCTGGTCTCAGAAAACTACAGGGCATCAGTGTAAGACAGCTGTGGAAAACAACCCCACAAACCAGAAATTATAAAGCGTTGTATTATTATCTGCAACTATAGCTTGGTTCTTAACAAAAAAGCCACTTAAGACTACTGAAAAACATAGCTGGAATAAATCTTCTGAATCACATGTACTCATGGACTCTGTTATGTCTGTGTTCTTTTTAACAAAGGTTTGCCTGCTTTTTTGTCTTCTAATTCACAATGATGGGGACTCCATAATCTTCCTACCAACTCACCAAGCAAAGTAATTTATTACACTTATTATTATGAATTTTTTCAAATTTCCGAATGCTTCAAAAGCAGGAGTTGGGAAATTCTATCCTAGATGATTTATCCAAAATCACACAGAGAAGTTACCAAAGAGCCAAGCCACCACAACACTGCCCCACGAGATGATGTCTCAGAAGTACAAGTTAGAGCATGATACAGCACAGTACAAAGGTATTGAGAGAGGGGTCATGTCAGGGATGGAATGAGAAAAAACACTGGAGGAAAATAAAAAAAATCTATTTTCTTTTCTGACCTTTTTCTTTTCAGGAGATGTATGATTACTTTTGTTGCTCTCGTCTTCCATTTCCCTATCACAGGTGAGGGGATCACGTCCAGGATCCAATTTCTGCCCATTCCCAGGCTCCTGCTCCAAAGGTCTCCATCCCATGAGATTGACTCCAGCTGCACACCATAGCTAAGTAACAGAAACAGGAATCTTAAACTAAGAATTCTGGAGGCTCCAAGGTCTCTTTAAATTCTGGCACCTTTGTAGAAAACTTTTTTGTTTGTGTCAAACAACTGAAATATTTAGTTCTTTATTTCTACTAGACGACATAGTCACATATGATGTAGGTAAGGTAAAGGTTCTCTGTAACCCAGCAGAAAATCACTGGGTTTTTTAACAGATGTGACTAAGAGATTTAAAGAAAATAAAAATAATAAATCAGATGCATAACTGAAAACAGGCTTTGGAAATGTCCTCAGTTTTTCTGACTCTGGGGTTCCTAAATTATGGTAGCAAAGCAAGCAGGACACGGCAGATGTTACTAGCTCAGGGTACAATAAGCATGAGTGCTTAACTAAAATCGACAGTGACTGCTCGGCTGAGGATACACATTCAGTGCATTCCTGTTCCCTCATCCCCCTCCCACCCCTTGCACTCTTCTGCTTCCTCACACACTCCTCTGCCAAAAAAATCAGTGTTTGTCTGATCTTAGAAAGCTATGTAAAGAACAAAGACAATAAAAAGTGAAGTTTAAAAAAAAAGGAAAAAAAAAATCTGCTGGTTTAACTCCCTACGTAACAAGTGTAAGGTGAAAGAAGCACACTGCACATTTTCTGAAATCAAATTTAGCTAACCTCCTATGAGCTATTTCCAGATAGATTTTTTAGGAGAATGTTTGGAACAGGACTACAGAAACAAATACTGGATTTATCCAAAAGCATAAAGGAAAGATGCTGAACTATTCAAAGAGCACGCCAATCTTCTAGAAAGAACCAACAGTGTAAGAGTTTTCCTACAACTTAACATCAGAATGACATCTAAAAATCAGCTCTGAGTGAAGTTAATGACAAACTGCCTATTTCAAAACAACTAATTATAGCAGATAAATATGCTACCTGGAGAGAGATGACCACCTCTTCTCAACCGCAATTCTACTCAAAATATGTCAGAATTGTTAGATAAAGGTTCACAAAAATTTGTTCTAAATAATTTTGGCCTGTTACCAGTGAATCCCAGTCAATAGTGAAATCTAAAAAAAGAGCAATGAAATGCATTTTTACTTTCACCTGCTTGTTTCATTAATTTTAATATTGTTTTGTATTATGCTCTAAGGACTCTTAGCAAAGGCCTTATAAGCATAAAATGTCGCTGATATTATTTAAGAGTTCTGACAAAAAAGCGTAAGATGTAAGACAGAAGCATGCCAACCAGGTTGGCAACCTGGCAACCAGAATCAGCTGAGAATTATGTCCTTACAGAAAGAGGTATTTTTCCCTACATACACTGGAAACCACCATTCAAAAAAGGAAGCAGAAGATAGAACTTGGAATATATAATGTAAAAAAAATACAGATTGTTTTAAAAATTGCACAGTTAGCAACCAAAATTTGTTGCTTATTCCATGTCCCCTTTCTGGACTGGAATGATATGCAGAGACAACATACCTTCATGGTTGGGTCCTTCTCTACTAGTGGGCGACAATATACGGGCACGGGGACATTTTTCATGCGGGTGTCTTCCTGACCACCATTGGGACTCAGCTGTGGGTGAAGAGAAGATGAAAAAGACAGTACAAAGCTGTAAACACGAGGCTATGGTAAGAGAGTTGTAACCAATATGGCAGAACCAAACCTATTGATCTCAGAGATGAGTGATGCTGAGGCTTCATCTCACGTCTTGTATGAAACAGAGTTCCTACAGGGATGGGAGCAGCCTACCCAAGAGACTGCCTCTCTCACCATGATACCGTGCCTCATGTATGGTCAACAGTGGCTATACTGCTGTGTCAGCTGCACTGCTGATGGAGAAAGAGTTAACAGATTCTCCATCAGAACACTGGCATTGCCTTCCATCACGGCCTGAAACTCATCCACTTTCAAGCCACACTGCAAGACTCCTTCCTTTCAGGTGGTCTTTGACAAGTTAAATGAGTCATAGGCCAACAAATGAGGCTGATGACATTTGATTTTGTGTTACTGCTGGGTTCAATTGGATGCAAACTGCACTGCATTTGGGTTTTATATTAATGATTGGTAAAGTTCTCCATAGTATAAATGAAATATCTAATGTTCAAGTCCAATTATAATAACAAAGGACTGGACTCTGGAGAAAGAATTTTAATTACTTTTGGTTTAGGCTAGGTTCCTTCAGCACATTCATGCAGAGCAAAGCCCCCTACATTGATTTAGCTGGAGATACAGGAAAGATTAATTTGACCTGTGCCTACAAGTATCATACATATAAAACATGCATATGATACCTCAAAATTACATATTTAAGGCCTAAGGCTAAGGTTACCAGTGGGAGAGTTAGGTCTTAGCTGGTTTCATTTTGAGGGACGATGTCCCTGGAGAGTAGTCCCTACCTGCTTGTACTTGGCAGGGAGGCTCCAGCCACAGGCCTGCAACCGCCCATCGTCATTCCGCACATGCTCCCGGACCTGGCGGTACTGCTCCCGTTTCTGCTCGCGACGTGCTGAGGACGTACAATCACTGGGGAGAGAAGCAGCAGCATTACTTCTCAATCTATGGTTAAAAACAGAAGCTGAAGGTTAAGGGAGTGTTGTCACAGCAGGGGGAGGAAACACGAAGCAAAACAAATCCACTTTTGAAAACAGATGCAGGAAATCGGAGAAAGAAAAACTCTGTTAAGAAGCAGACACAGGCATCCCTAATCTCTAACTCCCTGTGATCTGAGTGACGTGGCAGGCCAAATCGTTGTCATCTCCCCTTCAGTGCTCCAAGAGCCCTTCAGAAACAGGGCATCGACCTTCCATAAGACCTATGAATCTATGAGACTACACCAGTTTTTGCTTAGCTGTTACAATTTACTGATCTAACGTCTCGATCAGGAAGACATTTTGAGTTCTTCCCCTCTTCATTATAGTCAACTATTTATCTTTCCATTTTAAAGCATTCTCTGCTGATAAGGAAAATATGCACTAATTGCTGATGAAACTGCTGGTTTCAACAGAACAACTCCAGCTTTGCACTGGCAAAGGCTAAAAGAAAAATTGCTCTGTGAGCTCTCAAGATAGGTTTTAATATAAACAAATGCTGTTTGAATATCAGTTCTAGCTCTCAATAGGTTTTTAAAGTATCGTTCCAAGGTATAAACAACATCAGCAAAAAATCCAAAACAAAAGCTCCTACACACATACACACACCCTGACATATATACTTAGAATAAAAACAATCCCCTGCTAAAACGAAACACTTCCTTGCACATACTTCCTCCCCTGGGGAGAAGATGAGAGAACAGTTTCTGACAATGGTTAGTCACATCATTTAATGCACTGCTGAAAAGCACTCAGACACCAAACAACGACTATTGTATTGAACAGAATAAAGGCCATGGGTGTCTATGAAATACAAATTTACCCTTCTAAAGACAGTCTCTCTTCTCCTGAACTAGCACCTTTCCAACAAATCTTTCTTATTGCAGAAGTTATAATACCTTACCACCACATTCCATTAAGTCCTTCCACAAAAACATACCAAAACCATGAAACTGTACAGCCTCATAATGATAGAACACCACTTGCATTTTGAAGTCAAGTAAAGCACAGGAGAGTTTCCTCCCTTCATGTCATAGAGTCACTACACTTAGGTGCTCTTTTTTAACATGTTTAAGATTAAAACCAAATATTGTAACCTAAATGTGCTGTCGAGAGACCTTTTCTCTTCACCTAAACTCCTTGTCAACAGGGTTGGGCAAGACACTCTATCCCACTGTCCCAAGGCTGCCTTCACGCTCTACCACAAAAGCATTACTTCATTCTATCATGTAGTCGGCAAATATGAGTGCAGAAGTAGGGCTGAGGCCAACTCAAGCCTATAGCATTCCCTGCTGAGATGAACCATCATGGCCTAGAAGGCCACAGCAGCAACATGTTTGGGAGGACAAAATTTGCTGAGCCCATCCACTTGGTAACTGGTAAGTGAAAGATCACAGAGATAAACCACAAGGACAGGAACATATTAGCACCACGTAGGCGTTTTTTAAAGCAGAAAACAGCTTGTTTAAAAAACTATTTGTAAGAGCTGCAGGGGGACCTGGCTTGGCACACAGCACATGACTCACTCCTCAGGGAAGAACTCCAAAGTGCGGCTGCCAGAGGAGATCTGGCACATGGTGTGACTGCGACGCTGGCTGAACCCGGCTGTTGTTGGAGACTTGTAGTGGATGTTCACTGATGGGTAGGTCCTCTTTGCTGGTGGGGGACTTGAGGAAGAGCTAAACAGACGGCTGAAACTAGGTACAGAAAAAAGACCAACAAATATGAGAAAAGGTGCATGGGGAGACAACGCACCACAGATTCACAACAGGGGAAGCAAGAGGTACGCAATCAGGGGCTGTAAGCCTTTGATCAAATCTGCCCTACTTCAAACACAAAGCTAATTTCTCAGTTTAAATGACATAAGCTGCTTTTAGTTTCCAGAAACAGATACCTTCTGAAAACAGCCCTTTATTAAAACTGATTGTGAGTGTATGTATGTTTCCAGTCAAGGGTACTCATGATCTTTTTCAGCTTATAAAACAAAGCCAATGCGGATGTTCAGATCTGATTTTAATTCCACCAGGGGCAAAGAAAGCTCTTGAAGGCAAAAGGGTTCAGCTAACAACACTTCAGTTGATGTTTCATTAATGTCAGAGTCTACTAAGTTGCTCCCTAAAGTAGAAATGGCAATGCTTCCCCTTTTCTTAATCTTATACAAACCACCAAGGAACTTACAACTGCCAAATGGTGGATTTCTTTTTCTCCTGGACGGATGGGTGCTCACGGGAAGCTCTAAGGAAAAAGACAGATGCAGCAAGTTAATTTCAGCAGTTTCTGCCAACCATCAAGTTAATTTTAGCAGTTTTTGCCAAACAGCAGGCCATTTCCATCAAGGAAGCCATGTCAAAATTCAGAATTCATTCTAACATGTTCCAAAACACAACAGAGGAAGTGACATGCACTGGTCTTTAATGTAAGTACATCCAACCACTTCATGTTTTCATGTTGACATGAAGTGCAAGCAAGTGTGTTCAATTTGAAGTGTTATCAACTCCCTGCAACGTTATTGCCACAGCACTAGTCTGGTAACTACAAAGCCCAGCATTATATTCACTTCAACCACAGCCTTTAGAACTCAGTAATTAGAAGCAACCCTCTTCCTACAGCTTCTCCTAGCTTAATCGGCATACAAGAAATAAGTGAGACAAACAACTGCCCAGTGTCTCCAAATAATGATGGCAAGTTGAAATTTGCAGCCCAAGTTCAGGAATAAGAGAGACAGAATTAGGTATTAGGAGAGAAGCATCTACAGTTTGGAAAATTTTCAGCACTTCTCAACCCGTATCTTAGTAGGGGTTCCACTGACCACAAGGCCAAACATGGCAAGGTTCTGTCCTCAATAGGAATGCTCACCACCATCCAGTCTCACCTGATCATTTCTGTCCACCTGACAGCCTCCTGGAGCTCCATCAGCCTCTCTTTGTATTGATTACGCTCCATCAGAACCCGGGCCATTTCCACACGGGTGAAGCGGCGGCGCTGAGCTATGGGAATGTTGTCCTGCAGGGGGGAGGAGCACTGCTTCAGCCAACAAAAGATGGAAGGGGATTGATGTTAGTACAGGGCAAGTCAGGAGACAGAAAGACATGTTTGTTAGTTCCGCTCCTGTTCTGTTTGATTGCCCCCTGATTTCCGCATATGAGGTGTTAATTCTAGACAAGTGAGCTCCAAACTATGGCCCACGGACCTCTGGGGTGTTCTGCAAATCCATGGAAATTACAATTAGAATCACCACCACGTTGAAATCCCCACCCAGGGACTATTGCCCGTAAGGTGCTTTGATATTCTGCAAGAAATTTGGAGAGTTAACAGTGGTCTGTTGGCCCAGAAGTTTGGAAACCGAAGTTTTAGTTCATTAGCAAATCCAGTCAAAAGCAGCAGGGAGCACCACATAACGCCATCTGTCCCCTCAAGAGGACTAGGCAGCAGGCATTCTGAGTACACACTGGTAAAGGCGTAGACCGTTTCCTCTTTGGTGACACAACTTGGCCTTCCAATGAGGGCACGTGAGACTTTGGGTTAGGAGACAACAAGAATAAGACTGTTTGTCTCTTCTGAGGAGTGGAAAATGAGAACACGGCTAAGCTGGGAAAATATCTGCCCCAAAAGAAATGATGGTAAGAAGTGGCACTAGGTTGTGCCTAGACTGTGGCAATTCCCAGGCTCAGCCTGGCTGGTGAGTACTGCTGAAGTTGGAATAGCATAAATTAACCAAGTACCTCTCCAGCCTCCCTGGACTTGGAATAAACCTGTATGGCCAGTCCAAACAAGATGTGTATAACTGAAAAGGAATTTGACACCTTTTTTTTTTTTTTTTTTAATTTAAAAAAACAGACCTCCTGTCAGTTCAGCTTAAAAGGAATTCAGTCCTCTTCAGCATTTCACAACCACAACTTGAAAATTTTCCTATTTAACTGAATTCTCAACAGACCAAGTTCACCACAGTTAAGTCAAGAGAATTAGGCTAGAACTCAACCTGCTCCAGTACCTTTTACAAAGTAAGAACACAGTAATATTGAAAAGAAGCGTATCATCTAATTCCCTGTCTAACCAGAGTGACATCTACAAGGAAAATCTCTGTTACTGCTTCGCCTTTTTTTTTTTGGCTACAGTTTGAAGAGCTGTCATAGAAGAGCAGTACCCTCTACCAGCTAGTACTGGCTTATGTGAAAGAAATAACGAGAAAAACAATGCAGCAAGATTGAGATTACAGAACTAATAAAAGGCAGTTACTGCTGCAAAGCTGTCTGTATAACCCGGATTTCACTGCACATTGTCTTCATGGCTTACAGCTTCACTGCTAATGCAGAGACAAGCTCTTCTGGAGAAGCCTGACTATCAGAAGGTGCTAGGTGCTACATTAACAGTTGGGCTTGATGATCTTAAAGGTCTCTTCCAACCAAAACAATTCTATGATTTTACAAGACCATGAGAGAAACACACTAGACTGTAATTCAAAATTAGGGAGAACTAGATAAGAAAGGAAGGTCCTGAGCAGGGTACTGTTCTAGCACTGTTCTGCAGAAACCACATTGTGCACGGTATTGCCACTGTGTCAGCTGCTCATCTTTGCCAAACTATGGTTTGAAAGTCCTACAAAGAGGTAATCTCACAGCGTTTGTCCATTAGCAATGCTCATCAACAACAACCCACAGTTCACCAGCTTTGCCATCATTTTTAACAAAGGCAGATTAATCTGCATCTCAGGACTCACACATATAAAGTTATATAAAGTAAGTATATAAACCCCCTTTCCCCGCAGGCATTTTAGTAATGTAATATACCAATTCTGTACAGAGATAGCTGCTTACATCCTCCACCTCCTCTTTGGGTTCTCGTCGAGCAACAATCACTTCAGATTTCACTCTAGGAAACAGGAAGAAAAGCATCAAACCAGAAAGTGATACCATGGCTGGCCCTGAGGTCTTCTGGGAGGAGAACCATCTATGGGAAGGTCTGGCTGCATGCATCACACGGAAATGTTTTGAAACTGCATGCTAAGAGTTCAGAGTATGAGATGCTTCTCTGGTATTTTTCCCTCTCTCTTGTAGCGTGTTACTCTCAACAGCTTCACTGACATCACTCCATTTCTTTGGAACATTTGATGTAAACACCAAAATACTGACCACTGGGAACAGTCCAGCCAATTTCTATTTCAGAGCTATAATCTATGTTCAAACATTCGATGAGATCTTAACCGTGGGAAAACTGCCATTATCAGCAATGAAAATGCTGGCTTAAGTTCTTCTTCTGGGCTGATTCTGTTTTCAATGCAGTGAAAAAATGAAGGGCAGTTTGCCATTAATGGTAAAGAAAAGAACACCAAATCTGTGCTAATAACATACTTGAAGTATTTAACTGAGTGCTTTTAATTTCTTTAAACTCCATACCAAGGTGCAGTCATGCAGTCTGATTTGAATTACATGCACTTTTATTAACAGCAAAGACACTGTGGAAAAAACCTGCTGTCTCTGTCTCCTAAAAAGGCACACTTACCAGTTAAAAGTCCATGTCCCCACTGCATAATATATTCTATATATTAGAGATATTATAGATATTATGAGGGATTCCAAAGGCATTTTAAAAAACAGACCTATTTCCATTGCTTGTGAGGCTACTTTTATTTCAGACATTGTGTGAACAAAGAGACCGGTCTGTGTTATTCTTGCTGATGCTGTGCTCAGATTACAAGAGGCCACCGTCCAGATTCCAGCTGCAAAATAAACACTGTCCTCTGAAATGAGATAACACAGTGCAATGTGCAGCTAGTTCAAATGTAATTATGTTGCTTTGAGCCCTGTGGGGCATCTTTAGTTTTACGGATATGAAATCATCACAGGCATTCAGGCTTCAGTTTCTCTAGTTTGAGTGGAAAACAGGAAGTGGAATCTCTCCAAATGCTACCTGCACAGGATTTTAAAATCTCTTCAGCCTCTTCTTCTCATTCTTAACATGAACAATGAAACAATTAACAATACTGGCATTTAAATATTACTTGTGGGAATCTGTATTAGCTCTTTCATTAAATGAATAGGCATTCATTCCTCTCAGAGCTGTCTTGGGTGCTGCAAGGATCAAGTTTTTGACAGTTTCCTTCAAAACTACTGGTTCTGAAATTCTAGCCCCCACCCTTTTTTTTTTTTAAATTGCAAAATGAAACTCTGAATGCTTCACTCCAGAGACCCTGGATTTACAGTTGCTGCTGCAGAAACTTAGTCCTGAGGAAGAAAATTCTATGCGTTTTCTAAGGTTCAATAATCCATTTCAATTCAATAAATCAATGTGACACTAAAAATATCTCAGCCACCTACCATCAGCCTTGAAGTGCTGTGTATAAGGTACCTTTAAGCTCCAGTGCTAACCTCCACAAGGGAAACAGAGTAACATGAACAAAGGAGGTGGGTATATCTCTCCCAGGGAGCCCTTCCAGCTCCCTGGGGCAAGGTGTGAACCACTCACCTTTTCAGCTCCTCCTCCAGCTCCTTGACTCTGGTCTCCATTTTGGCTTTGGCCTGCTTTGTTGCTTCAAGCTCTCCCTTCAGCACTTCTTGCTCTCCAGACAGCTGGTCCACCTTGGCAATCAAATCATTCTTCACAACGTTCAAAGCATTTCTTAAAGGTGTGAAAAGAACAATAAGCAAAAATGCCCCAAACCAGCAGCTGTCCATAAGAGAGACCTGAAACTAAAGTCACAGGCACTACAAGGAGAGTTGAAATGAGTGTTCTTAAAACAATTCACAGTCCAGCTATAACTCATGGAAAAATAGATTTTGGCAAGGAGTTGCAGAAGAACACAGAAATCACCATAATTCGTCAGGATGAGGCTTGTCCAGTACTGTATTCTGACTGACAGACCAACATCTCCTTAAGAAGAAGACAGAACACTGCAAGCAGTGTAGGGTATCCTATAACCTGCACAAGGTTCACAGCTATTTTTAACAGAATGAAGATCTGAAACACACCCTTCAGAACTGCTGTTATCTGTAACTGTGGATAATTGTGGATGATAGTGATATAAATATTTCAAATTGGCTCCAAAATATCTGAAAATCTTTAAAATCAGCAGCTTCCTATCATTGTAAGTTCTCCAACTCTCCTTTGGGAGTACTTTGCCTTCCTGTTCCTGGCTGCTTAGCTGTAGTATGTGGTATGTCAGCCTTTCTCAAAAAATAAGTCCATTACATTTTCTGCTTCTCCTTCACCGACTATTAAACCCCTGAAAACTGTCCTCAATACTAAGAAAATTTTCTTTGCAAATAGGAAAAGTTGTAAATAAAAACTTAGAGGCAGTAATATCCTCACAGAGACTCAGACCAATATCTAGATTCCCACTGAAGTTAACTGATTGCCATTGATTACAGTTGGGATCAGATCCCACCAGCACATGCCCAGAGACTTCACCCAAGTGCCTGCAGAAAGGAAACAGTTAAGAAAGTAGCTCAGAAGAGCAATTCCTCCTCTACAATTGAAGGAAGAACAAGTATTCAAGCAAACTTGTTAGATAAATGAGGAAGCCCCTGTGAGGCAGTTCTGGCCAAGACCTACTTCAAGATGACATCTTCTTTACAAATAGGCAGGCAGTTCAGAGAACACAACAGTTCCTTACTTGGTCTCCAGTAGCTGTGAGTTCTCCAACAGTAGATTCCCCACTTCTTTGCCCATTCCTGAAAAGAAAGGCCAAGCAGTTTTCACTTGCTCTCCTTGAAACATGAAGCTTGTGTGGCACTGCCTGACTCAAGTTTGAGGAACAGAAATCACTTTTGTTAGGCTTCCCTAGGCCTTTGTGTCCTGCTGTGGATAGTGGAGTACCTCTTGCTGAAAGACCATGCAGCACAAACAAAGACACCCATGTGTCCTTCTGTAAAGAGCCCAAATGTAGACCTAGCTGCTTATCCCAACTTTCACAGACTGCCTGAGAGGGACGGAGAGGAGAGTTTCACTAGCACCAGTTAGGGGAAGTCAAGTCAGTAAACTCCTGGTTCAGCCATGAGCTATTGCAACCATTTTTTACCATCATTCGTACAGAAAGAAAGTAGAAGTTAATGGGCTTTTCAGGGAGGACAGCAGAACACTGTCCAAATTGCTGGCCAGATCTGCACATCAGCGATTTTCTTATCTTTCTCAGTACAGATTTAGGATCATAGTTGTGACCAGTTTCATGCACATGAAACGCTTCCCATTATCAGCCTTCCACCAGAGCAATTTTAACAGGACTTCAGACTGCCCATTACTCTGTCTACCTTTAATAGTTTCTCATAGATATTTCAAATCTGAAGTCCCATCACTTAAGACCAACACTCAAGGAAACATCTACATTGGACAGACTGCACTTGCACTTGCGCGTCACCATATGATGACTGCGATATGCAGATTGGGTTGCAAGCACTTTGGAAAATCTGGGACTAAGAGTGAAGGCAAATTCAGTACTTCATAAAACCATACAAAAAGGAATTTAGAGACCAAAAGGACAACTGAATTATTTACAGGGACTTGCTGGCTCCCAGAGTCACCTTCTATCTTAAAAGTGATGAAGAGAGGCCACCTGAGATCTAAAGGCAAAGAGACTCCTCCCTGTCAGGGGACAGCATTTAGGTTTGCAGCTCATTTCTCACCGCAGGTCCCAGAGCACGAAGAATTCTCACAACCATCAGTGATTGTGCTGAAGTGATCCTTGTTCTGCCCTCTGAACTACCTCTTTCTTTACAGCAAAGACATCAACAGTTTTTCATGATCCATTATTTGCTCATTAATATTTGCAATAAAATAAAAACAACACAAAGTAAATGGAAGTTAGAGAAACATGGTATCATACCAGAAGTGAGAACACATCACAACACTCCAACATACAGATCCTCTTCCAGAAATGGGATGAATTTATGATGGCAAAAGCAAATTCAGAGCAAGAATGAGTAAGAAGCAGCATTTTCAAGTAACTTTTGAAAAATCAGTAGACAGATAATTAATCACTTTGATGTTTCAGGCAATGTGTTCTTTGGATACTGTTTCAAAGAATACTGCAAATAGCAAAAAAGTGACACACTAACTGCAGTGCAAATGGAAGTGTATTTTTGGTTTGGCAAGAATGACTTATAGGTATTTTTTTTTGCATGCTGTATGTTGATCAGAAGACCAAGAAGTCATCTGTTTATTAAATTATTTTGTTGTTCCTTTCTAGTGATTCTACAGATGATCAAATAAATATTTAGCCAGTAAGACATTAAAATGGCACAAGGACATAAAAAGTGCTGAGGCACATCAAGGGAAAGAGTTCATTCTCCCTTTTTTTGGGACTAGATCTTTTTCCTTCCAATTCCTGAGTCATCTATCCCTCTCTGCAGCCGTTTTGGGGAGAGAAAGGAACTCTGATGAAGAGGGTGAGCTATCATGAGAGAGCTAAAAGCCACACAGCATCCCAGTCATCAGTATCTTCACCTTATTTGTGTGCAACACAGTCACAGCCCAATGCTTTAATCAGTGAGAGGTCTGAAGGGCTAGTCTTGCAATAAAGAAATGGATGAAGCCATCCCAGAGCCATAGAATGGATCTATGAGATAACCTTACGCAAGCTGTAATGGAAAAGCCCCGCTCATGGGAAAAAAACAAAACCATGGGGTGACTAAAAAGAGATCTCTTCACTCCTTTGCAGCATGAAGCAAAGGGAAGAGAAGTCTGGGCAGAGCCGTGTCTAACAGAGCCCATCCTACACTGTCCACCTCCTGTAGCCAGGCAGATAGTGTGAAGCATCAAAGTGGATAATCAACTATAAGAAAGAGATGAGAATCCCCAAACCCCCACTACTGACCAGCTGCGTCCTGCTTCTTGGAGAGGTGATATCACCATCACAAAAAAACAAACCAAGACAATGCAAGACACATGGAGGGATGTTGAGTCAATGGAAGAAATTTAGAAAAAATGTACATTAAAAAAAAAAAAGAAAAAAAAAAAAGAGAAAAGGCCTTCGCCTTACCAAAGAAATCATCCCGTACTATGAGAGCCATCCCATACGAGAAAGGAACAGAAAGAGATGGGGACAAAGGGGAAGAAAGGAAGAGAAAAAAAGCAGCCATTAAGTACCAGTCTGTAAACAGCAAACAGAGCAGCTCATCAGCACATGTACATCTGTGTGCGGTGCCAGTGTATGTGATGCCCAGCAGTAACTCATCTACACCTTGTTCTGCTGCTGCCTGGCCTAGCGGGGATTTACACCTGAGATGTCAGGACAAGCTCATCTTTTTCTTCCATCTTCATAATTTCACCTGGACTACACATCTTTGGGTTTCTCATCCCCAACAAAGGTAGTTCAACAAACATTATGAGTAGGGTGAGGGAAGGACAAGGGCAGGAGGAAAAACAAAAGTGGGGGTGGATATCAAATCTCCCGTCTGGCCTTTTGCACAGGCCTAAATTCATCTCTGCACTGCTACAAACTCCAACTCAGCTTCAGAGGGAGATTCTCTGTGAAAGGACCACAAAGAGGTGACTTAACAGTAAAACCAGTTTGAAGTAAAAGAAAGGATGATGCCATCCCTTTCTTTTGTAGCCTTACAGAACCAACACCAAGAGGCACCAGGCAAAGGAACATGACAGAGCTCATCGCCACACAGCACTGCACTATCGCCTCTGCCCAAGTCACCTGCCTTTACTACAGGGAAAATTTCATCCAATTTGCACTGAAATCAAGGGAGATCCCCGTGACTTCATCTGGAATTGCATCAGGGCCCCATTTTATGGAAAGGTGCAAACAGAACATGGCCCTAAGGCAATGAGTCTCCTTCACCAAAACAAAAGGCAGAGGTATTACTTAAACTCCTGCCAGAAAGGCAAAGAGTCCACGACAGAGGACAGAGGCTTTGCCACTCTAACCCACCAAGAAAGTGTCTTGAATGTCATTACAACCATTCCAGAAGAGGGCCTGTATGCATCAACCAACCCACAGTGGCAGATGGAGGGATTCCTCACAGCGTGGTTCGCTGAGAGGAGAGTGGGAACCTAAGGCAGCCCTGTGCCCACCTGAGCTCTGCTCCAAGCCCAGCACCTGGCCTGACAGGAAAAAAACCACTTTGAGCCACAAGACCTCAAGTGACAGGCCCGTGTAACACAGTAGAGCAAACCTGCAGAAAGCCACACAAGAAAAGCTTCTTGAAACGCAGCAGGTATGTGAGCACAGAGCGGGGATGTCCTGCTGCCCAGGGACCCACCGGTGCAAGGCAATCAAGCGAGGCGAAGGTGGGAGAAGTCTGCAAAGCCAACCGTGTTTGGACAAGAGCAGGGGAGTATCACACGTGTATACCACATCACTCGACCTCAACCAGGAAAAAAGAAACAGGAAAGGAAACTGAGCAGAGGAGATACACACCTGAGAACTCCCCTATGGGCCATGTCCAGCGAAGCACAGAGAGACAAGGGAAAAAAGGAAGTGAAAAAAGGATCAATCAGTGACTGAAACCAACAAAATAAAAATTTTGTTAAAAAAAAAAAATTAACAATGATTCAGCCATTTCAATGTCAAAAGGCATGAAATAGTAAGGACGGGACCTGCCATGACTGTAGATGGCATGACTCTACATACATGACATAAAAAAAATCAAGGGAAGGTAACCCGAGGTACAACTGCAACCACATGCCTCAGCTACCTCCGGTTTTCCAGACATGAATCTCAGGCAACTGTATCTTCCTGGACTGGAAAAACCTTTATTTTCTCTTTATTTAGTCATGTACGACTAAATGCAGAAAAAAAGCTAGTTCCCACTACCTTCTAATTTCCCCTCCCCTTGTAATTTTAGCAACTAAATCTTCTGATAATAAATGTGCTCTTCAATGATACTTTAGCTTGCAAAAGACAATTAGTTGCATTTGAAAACCTTTTTTCTTTTCAGTGCAGTGTTGGTACTCAAGTTTGATAATTGTATTTCAACTTCCGTCCAAAAAAATATACATAAACTTACCGCTAATACAGCTGAATTTCTGTCTTCACCACCCTGTTATTTGAAGGGAGGTTTTAATCTCCAAAACACAGTTGGGATCCTAAAACTGAAAGGAAGGAACCTGCCCGTACTGCACAATCAAACTGCCAGTGCTCCTTCAAGTCCAGAAACTGTTGGGACAGGGAAGAGCAGGAACAGGGAAATGGGAGAAGGGGGAGCCTAGCCAGGATCAGGAGGTAAGGTAAAAACCTGTGATTAACAAGTGACTATGCAGGAAAACAGCCAACTAGTGTTCCTAAGGCTGTAGTGAGAAAAAAGGGAATTGGGCACTTGTTCTCATTCCGCATTTTTCTCCAGAATACTTCCTATACAAACTCATAGATGTAAAGAACTATTAGAAGCGGGGGGGAAACCCACGTTTTATTTATTATTTTATATTCAAAAATTGCAATGAAGATTGCCAATTTTGTGCCAAGAGATGTTGGTTGCCTTTCAGATATCCAGAAGGGATGAGCGAGAGTCTCCATTCAAGAAACAGACTTGCCTTCCAGCAACTCCTCAAGGGTAATTTCTGTAAGATCCTTCTATTTTAAAGTCCTCTTTTAGTGAGATTTCTCTTTCTTTAAAAAACTTAGTCCAAAAGGAGACAATATTCTTTGAAGACTGATTGTCAAGTTTTGACAGACACTAGAGGAAGTATTCAAATTTCATTTAGGTGGGGTAAACTTCATTAGTTCAAACTTCAGTAATTCTTTTGATTTACAGAGAGAAGTAGAAGTGAGCTCCAAACACGACCCAGAAATCCTTTTGGCTTGTGGATCTCGTTTCTTACATCACGTCTATAAAGCTCTTCCTCTGTGGCTCTTCAAAGGTACAGCACAGAGAGAACAATTTGTCTAACAAAAAACTCAAAACTTTGAACAATGTTGACAGATGTGTCAGTACTAAGATCTAGCCTTTTGCTTCCACCTTCACCTGATTTTATTAGTGCTTTCTAATGCGCAATGAAAAAAAAAAAATAGAAAAAAAGTATTTATCTCACTTCCTGGTCAGAGACATGACCTCTTAAGATCTCATTCTGTCTTCCTCTCTGTGTACAATCCTGGCAACACATGTGTTCATTTTAAAGAACACTTTTATGTGGACAGAGTCAGCAGCCAGAACTCAACAAAAGGTATAATCAGAGTAACATTTTTCACAGCAAATTCAGAGAATTACCTGACTTCATCATAGCCCACCACCCAGGTTTGAAAAGGAACCAGGAGAAAGAAGCCTCCCTATTCTGCTAGCCTGCCACATGACCGCCTGCAAGAGTTTTGCTGCTCTGCTCAAATCAGAAAATTATCCCAGCACAGAAACGTACTCTTCATAAGCCACACTTACATGGGCACTGTTCAACAAAGTCTCTGTAGGCTTTTATCATGACTGGTAACTGCCAAACAACAGGTGTCTCACTACCCAAAATCAATCACTGGTCTTTGGGCAGCCTTACTACTGGAAAAGGTGAAGCACTTTTGACTTTAACTGAAACTGTGGTGATCAACCTTGGAAGGTTTGGGCAACCAAAATCTTTGGCCCTTTGAAAACAACAGTCTGCATTTCTCACTGATGACTGGGTCAGACTACAGGGTAATCCAAAGGGGAAGTGGACTACCAGAAGCGTGAAACAGCTTGTCCAAAGCATTTCATACACCGAGCAAATACTTTTCCAGAATAGTAACTCTTAGAAGCTGACAATCCCTGATGCCCCAGACCCTCTGGGGAGAGAAGGAAAGCAGCAGTCAGCACAGTGATTAGTGGAAGATAGCCATATAACCTCTCCTAGATATACAGTCTCCTAGTTAAGGAAGCACCTGAGGACCAAGATAAAATAGATGGGCAATGGCAAGATTGTCAAGTGTTTTTAATGCTTTGATTCTGCTAGGAAGAGAGTTCCCAATAACATATTGGGGCTGGCTAACCAAAATTCATTCCAGAGTAGGTAGATGAAGCTTTAACTGTCACATGTAGTTCCTACTGCCACCTTCACTTTTAAGGAGGAGTCCCAGCCCTTCTGCACTGACTGCTAACATCCAGATGATTCTCAAACCTGGAAATCTTGCTTTTCCTTCTAAATTCTTAATTTTGTAAGTATCTGCAGATGTTGGCTGCAATTCCAGGCAGAGAAAGGCTGTGCTTTGATCTTGATTCTTCTGTAGATTTTTTTTCTTCTGGCAATCTCAAGTTGGAGGTGAAACAATAGATGTTTTAACACTTCAAGCAATGGTCATCAATCCATGCATGAGAGCTCTCTGACATGTTGCAGAGCTAGCACCATGCTTCTTAAAAAAAAATCAGCCTATCCATATCAAAAAAGTACTGCAAGCGTTCTGATAATAGTCTGGATCTTGTTCTTACATTCCAGTACACACTATTAATAATAACTTCACAGATTTTTGTCTTTGATAAAGAAAGAATTATTGCATTAACTTCCTTTCCAGTATTCAGTCTGCTTCTTCAAGGTTAAGTCTTCAGTGAATAGGGTAAAATTGATCCTCTCTGCAGAAACATACTGTTTTAAAGGGTCCTGATATAAGACTCACTCAAAGGTGATACTAGTATTTCCTGATTTAATTTATGCAAAAGTAAACTGCTGCAAATCTGCGATGTGACTCAGTTCATCCTGTTCTGGACATATATACAGAAACAAATTTACAAGATTATCCATCATTACTCTTCCATCAGTAATAACCAGAAAGTAAATGTACACTTTCAGATCTTGCTAATAAATGCATAAAAGGCATACTGTTGGAATCCTCATGTCTCCTAAGGCTCCTTAAAAGAGACAGTAAAACAGAAAGTGAGCTACACAGTTACAAATTTTGTCAGCTGCCCATGTTGACTGAGTACTCAAAGACCACTGTCCTGATTTGTCCTGATTTAGGAAAACAGTGGGTCTTAAGAACACACTTAAATTCTGTCATGAATTAAGGTCTAGATACTCAAAAGTCCAACACCAAAGAGTACGGGAAGAGCTCACACTGCCACCTGAGGCAAAGCTGCTTCTCTGAGTGCTTCAAAGTCCTAGTCAGGAACATGGAATATAACCAGACTTCAGGTATTACAAGCTCTTTCAAAACCAGCCTAAAAAGTGAACTACCACCTCTCATAGACTGACTAGAAAAGAGACTGCAATACAGACCATAGTATTTCCATATAATTTAAACTTCAAAAACTTAATAAAATTAGTTACTTTCTTGGAAATTTCAAACAAACCTTTTATTCCAAGTGAAATTGCTAGTGGCAAAATTACTGGGGGGGGAAAACTTGGGGGAGGAAGCAGAAGGACCAAGTTTTGTCTTTGAACTGTTTGTGTGGGAGAATCCTATAAAAAGTAAATTATGCACATAAAGACAACCCAAATAAAACTTACCCAACAGTTTAAGTTATTTTCTAAGTAAGCATTGCTCTACTGCAGGTACATATTTCAGTCACATACTGTCTCAATTTCCATGTTATTTTTTAAAAGCCAAACACCCGAGTTCTTGGGAAAAAAAAGAGAATTTTAGTGCTTTTAGAAGTTTAATATAGTTGCCATTGTACCAGAGAAAAGAGAATGGTTCTAAACAAGTTTTTACCTAGCAGATCTGCTCCTTCATCAACATCCCCGATAACTTCAGACCCTGCTGTGGAAAGTTCATGATACAGAGAGTCTGTGTTGATGCCAAATGCTTTGTTCACAATCCCCTGTGTTGGGCTGTTGCCGGAATAAAAAAATAAAAATAAAAAAAAAACCACAGTTGTTACTTTGCCACATTTAAGCTAGAACATTTCTCCCTGAAATACTGAGCATCCCAGACCACTGTGATCAAACCCCTTAGAGCACATCCTACCTGTTCACCATGGGTTGATTCAGGGAAGATATTGAGCAAAGAAAAAAGAATATTTTATTCCCCATACCAATGATAAATACCTATCACGCACAGCCTCAAAGGTCACCCAGCTCACTTCTTTTAAAATCAGAATAATCAATGACTATTCAATATTTGATAGAAAAATTTCAACTTGCAGGAGCTGTCAGCTCTGAATTTTCAGACTCTGCAAGGATTCCCACCCTCCTATCAGTTTAGGTAGCAACCTTAGGTAGCAATAAGATCAGGCAAGGACTCAAATGTTGAAAACAGCAATGGCCTTTCTTCTTTGTCAACTTTTAAGTTAAATCAGCCCTGAAGGGTTAGTTTCTTCTTTGGATGAGTCTATGCACTGGAATGTTTCTTCACATTTCAGCAAAATGTGTTTCATTAAAGGTCAATCAAAGTTAATGTTTTTGAATGATATCATATGGGAGCACATCTTCACCTCTTAGTGTCTTCGGTACCATAAAGAATCTTCTTCATTTCTTGACAGTCTCAAGACTCAAACAGAGAACAGCTGTTACAGGAGGTGAGGGTGAGGCAATCTCTGGGATTGTCACTGCCAGCTCTTCTAAGTGCCCTGCCTTGTATGAGGGGAATCAGCCAGTATGAAGAGAGGCTGTGCAGTTTTTCCGTCAGTCTAACAGAAACCAGTCTAACAGAACCAGTACCACTGGAGATTATCTCAAGTTGTGTGGCTTCATTCTTAGATAAATCAACTCTCAGTGATAATGCCTGGAGGTTACAAATGGGGAGCATGAGATGCCTCTGATATTGCAGAGTTAAGTTACAACATATTGCAGAAAAAAGGAAAAAAAAAATAGTTTTTTTTCAATTACAGAAAAATTACAGATGTCTAGACATCTGAGAGTACTGCAGAGTCACAAATGAGTGCCATGACAGCACCAGAATTAATCACTTAGCGCAGTCTAATGGACAGCACAAGTGACAAGAAGTAACCAGCACTCAGCGACTGACCTGAAAATCTAATTCAGCTTGAACGTACCTCTCCAGCACTCAACTTCCAGATGCTGTATATATGTCAGAAACATTCTGCTTTTAAAACAGCAAGCAGGCTGCTCAGCAGCCCCAGAGTTAGCTTCTGTCTCCTGCAGCTTTCAGTCTCACTACCAGGATCGGAGATCACTGCCTGAAGAGCTCCCAGTGAAGCAATCCTCTTCCTTCCCTTCTTATCCTCGGGTTTCATCAATTTTTGATCTGATCTCATCAGTCACTTTTGTCTTCCCCACAAAGAGCTGATTCGGCTACCTACATTCCTCCTGCATCTGACCCTAAAAATTGCCCATGCATCACACATATTCTGAGGGGAGCTTAACTGTATGTGGTTTCACAGTTGAGAAATTGCTGCTCATACCCTTCTCGATGAGAGGGTGCTCAACAGGGGGAATCCACTCCAGATTTGGACTGTGAGGAAATCTTGCCTTAACTTTGTCAGGGCATTATCTTCTGCGTACCTTTAAGAGCTAGGAGGTTATTTTTGCTAGTGTAGTGCCAAATTACCCACCAGATGAGGGTAAAAATTAATTAATCCTGTAAAATTAACCACCAGAACTTAGTAAAAATGAACCAAAGTACCCAAACTAATAATTCTAGACTAATACATGCCTCACAGAAACGCAGTGTCAAAATTAATAACTTTAGGGAGCCTCCTATTTGGTACAAAACGGGGCATGAACAGGAACTAGAGTCGCAGAGCAGTGCAGTAAAAGTCTCCTAATTTGGAGAACTCTGTCAAGGTTCTGAGTGCACTGATGGGTCAAAATTGCTCTGAGCAGCCTCATCAGTGGGTGGGACCTGCACCCACCCACTGATCCAAGCCTCCCTTTCACCTCAGGTCTGTTCCTTCAGTCCTCTGAGCTACACTGTAGGTGTTCCTGTTTTCAGCCCTGTCTCCTGCTGCTCATGGGTAGCACCGGCACCCCATTCATCCCCTTGCCTTGTCTGGGGCTGCTGCTGGAGCTTGTTATCAGTGCTTTGCCTCTCTGCTCTGAACCTGTGGGACTGGGATTGCTGGGGTTACTCTTGCTTGTGCTCCCTCATGGAGCAGCCCTGCTCCTGCTCTTCAAACACGTGAGAATATTAAAACTGAAAAAAGCTTGAGGTTTTAAAACAGAATTCATAACTGGTCTATTATTATTATTATTATTATTATTATTATTATTATTATTATGCATTTTTTCCCTCTTCTTGACAGCTTAAGCCCATGTCCCCTTTGGCTGTCTTAAGCCTTCTCTTGCTCCATCTCTCCAACCTCCCTGGTCCAGCAAGGCAAAAATGCCCAGTTCTGGGTCAGCTGGACAGATTCTTCTGCTGATTACTAGCAGACATTAGCTTTCTCTGGAGAACCTCAAAGACAGTCAGGACCCCTCATATGTGCACTATGCAGAATATATAGACTTTCTGAAACAGCTGCATCTTGAACTCAGTGTGAGCCACAGCACCCATTCCTCACTCATAAAACCAAGTGAAAGAGCACAGTGAAAAAGTTGCAATCAATACCTGTTACCGGTGCGTTCTAGGCGGGGATCTTGACACATATCCAGCTCTGGAGTAGAGTCTATGATGTCCTGAACATCGGACCACTCATCACTGCTGCCCATTCCTAGGTAAGACAATACATATAATCTATAGGACTAGGACTTTCACAGGATGCTGTTCCTTGAAAGGACTGTTACAGCTTTGAATATTGAGATTTCAAAACTTCATGGTGTTGTGTTCAAAGTCTTAAAATAGGAACAGAAAGTAGCTGATCATCTAGAGTCACAAATGCATTGGTGCTGGGAAGGTGCGCTCACAACTCCAGAACAGGAAGACCATAAGCATCTCCTCCCTCCCCACCATACCAGTGTCACTAAAGTCATTAGCTTGAATCCTCATTAACGTGTGATAACCAGAAATACTTCATCCATTAAAATAAGTTCCAAATAAACTTTTTATCTGTCAGTAAAAACTTTTCAATGCAGCTTTAGCTGAGATCGAAAACAACACAGCGATTTTCTGTATAGCTTCACAGAGATTACTCTAGTTATGAACTAACGCTATTTAGTTTTAATAGAAATATTTTTTCATACAAATTCTCAAGTCCACAACTGGTTGAGATACTCATTACAATGAAATTTCACTTAAAACCTTGTAGATGAAATCTGCTCTGGTTTCTGTATAATCTACAGCCTGAAGTCAGTATTTAAAGAAAATGGAATTTCCTCCTTTTGTCAAGTCACATTTATCAGATAGCAAACTATTCAAAAGCCCAGACTTGCACCTATTCTAAACAAACAATATGAACACAGTATCTGTTTTTCCAAGAAATTCTTGAAGGATTAAAGACCTAATTTGTAAACTACATTATTCTCTCATCAGTGTTAGATGTGAAATTTTTGACCTTTCCAAACTGCCCCAGTAACCAAAAATACAAAGCCCATGGCAACTTGAGTGTTGATTTTGTTCTTTTAGGCTGGCATTATGCACCAGCTGGCAACAAATGCCATGTTTAAAGACAAAAGTGATGTGTATTTGTTGCCAAAGCAGGCATCCATACACCGGCGGTTCTCAAGCTCTCAGAAACAGAGGCTTCCTCTTCTTTATTTTTCCAAGCTGGGAAGCTTTTCTGCAATACAAGTACCTTCTTTGGATAGTTCAGCTCTAAGGCATTTGCATCACTGACAGACATTTTAATTACAGATGCATAAAATATGTAATTAAATCAAGTACCTGTGTTTCTCCACAGCATGGAAACCTGATTTTGCATTACATGTGAGAAATAGCTGAAAGGTTGAATATGCATAGCACACAGGAAAGATACAACCATCTGCCTTGAGCAGATTCCACAACATGGTAATTCCACCAAGAAAATAAGAAGCTTTCACACGCACAATGAATTCAGAGTGGCACATACATAGAAGAGAGCAGACTCTGACCCAAGAAAGCTATTGATGGTAAACATGCTTGTAAAGAAGCAACTGTAAAAATAAGGATAAATATTTACAGAGCATTCAAACTACTGACATCCATGCTTAATTTCTCTGATACTACTGCTTATATTGACTTGCCTTGGCCAGGATCATCACACAGATCACAATTTAGCAGTTGGCTATGCAGAAGCCATACACTTTTATGGACAATTACACTAGTTTCTGGCAGATTGACATCTGTGACCCTGGGACCCCCTCACTAATATAAATACAAATACAGAATGGGACTCAGTCACGACAATTCTCATTCCGATGCTACAACAAAAGATGTTACATGTTGTTTTATCATGTTAATTTGTTAGGAACCAGCTGTGAATGTTAGCAGAGGAATTTCCTCTGCACTACTTAGGAATAAAGATGAGCATCTGGTTCAGATGCTAACCTCATCTGACCACAGGGATGACCTACGCTCATCCCTGTGCTCCTGCACAGATTTTCCTTATGAACTTCAGCTAGTTTTACAGTCATTTCGTATATAAGTTCATGACATGTAAAACAGCCCACTTCTCATTTCTAAATACAAAAGAGGCTAGGAGTTGCTCAGACACTACATTAGCACTGCTGTATTAAAAAGCACAGAAAGGGCCTTTATCGTGTTATTACACCGTTTTCTTTATTTAAATAGCATGGTGCTAAAGGCTTAGGTGATGGCTTTCCTGACAAGAAATTGTGAATTCAAGTTACTAAAGCACTCCAGGAAGTGGAGAGAAAACAACTGTAACTTCCAAAGATTTGGGGGGGTTCTTATATGAGAAATAGACTAAAAGAAAACAGCTTATTTAGCTGAGAAAAACAGCTGGAAATAATTGCTATTTTTAAACACATCAGGGTGTGGGATAAACACACAGTAGATAATTATTTAACCTGACAGACAAATTTGGCATATGAACACCTGGATCTTATGAATAAATCCAAAGATAAAACTAAATGGAAACTTTTAACTATCATATTGATGAGGTCCAGAAACAGCTTTCCAAAAGCTCAGTTAGACTAAGATGGGACTTGACTTGCATGAAAGAGGTTCTATGACATGGATGAATGCAACTGCAGGGGACTGAACTCAATAACTTATTCCCATCCCGTATATTTGTGCAACTATTCATGTTACTGACGTTTTTAAAATGTGTTGCCCAGAAAACTGCTAACATCCAATTAGCCCTGTCTTGCTCATGTATCTTTCTAAGTAGGGGTACCTCAAATTCTACACTTAATGTAAGTCAATTACTCCTCAGTCTCCCAGCCTCTTCCTGTAACACAAGCACTGGGAAGTCAATTACTTTAACAACCAAATACCCAAGCTCCAGGTTCCATACCGATGCTGACATTCCTCATCTCCTGCGTGACCTGGACTTCCATGTTCCGGCTGTTACGCTTTTCTCGTGCTCTCTTATTGCTCTTGGTCAAGCCATTGTATTCGCCGATGGGCTGGATGCTCTCATTCAAGGGTGTGACGGCCGCAGAGGGCACAGATGACGTGGGGGTGTTGGATTTGGTTCCAGTAGTGCTCGGTGTGGCAGCTGCTGAGGACTGCCCAGATTCGGACATTTCATCTTGGGGGCACTATGGGAATTCCAGGGTGGGGGAAGAACAAAAAGGGAAAAGCACAGCTATACATTTCAATTAATCTCCCGTTTGTTGGCGTACGGCTGCCTTTAAGCGCTACAGAGAATGAGTACTGCTCGCTGTACCAGCTACATGTCCAGTGCTTGCTGATGACAATAGGCACTGCAACCACAATGAAGCAGTGAGTTCTCGTGCTGAACTCAGCAAGGAAATCCCACCTGTGAAAGGACTGATATCCTTCCTCCTTTACTACCAAACATTGCTTTTCACAAGTCACATCAGTATGTGATCTCTTCATCATGCATCTCAGGAAAGGTAGCCGTAATCATAAGTGAAAAGCACCTGCAGCTCACATTGACTATAGTGAAAGCTGAAGGGCTTTGCCACGTGTGGTGAGCCAGGCCAGTATTTCCCAAGACTGGAAGACAACATGGATATTGCTTGGGAAGGATGTGAAGTGGCCTCTTAGAGGTCTCAGGTGATGTCATTACTCTAAGCCATCAGCACAACCCGGATGAGAGAACAGCGAAGTGGTTTTGACACTAAAGTGCAGAAGCAAAGCAGCAAGCTGGGATGGTCTGGCTTTGCAAGCACAGGAGACCTATGTCCCTATACCACCTTACACAGAAGCTAGCCAGGCATGGGTCCAGCTTGACAACACAGCAGAAACAGGTGCGGTATCCCCATTCCAAATGAGAGGATGACAAGACCCAAGAATTCAAAAATCAGGAGCTGACAAATTAACATAGGAGATGGATTCCCAGTGTGAAATGTGCACAAATGGCTCTCAGTTTTACAGACATTACAGCCCCATTTCTTGTAAGACCACCTCTTGAAAAACATGGGAGGCTTTCAAGGCTCTGTCAGGATTTTGACCCGTTTGTCAATTAAGACAGCATTGCTTCACAGTCAGCCAATTAATGTCTTGACCAATGCTGTGCTCTCTCCCAGAGCCAAATGAGATCTCCCCATTCTTCACGGCAGCCCACTCTAATTACTGCCTGCAGGAAGATGACAAAATTAATGTTGAGAGTTACATGTGATAATGGGTTGCAATTGGGTGCAGTGACGTTCAGCAGCTGCACATCCAGATCCAGCTTTAATCTTTACTCCTTTCCTCTCCCCTCCTGTGCAAGTACTAGAAAGATCCCGATTCTGCTCAGAGGCTGCTCTGAGCCTCCCAACCTTGGAGCTGTGACGCTGTCTCACTTCACTAATTCAAAAGTCTTCTTCTCTTGTACTAATAATAGCTTCATAACATGACAAAAAAAAATTCAAAATGGGATGAGAGAGAAGACTGAAAAAAATGGTGACTTAACCCTTTGCAGCCTTTTTCTTTTTTAAATCTGGAATCTTATTAAGATCTTCCTTTAATTAGACTGGCCTCTTAAAATACCCTGCTCTACATTGCACTGTGGAAGTCAAAGGTTTTACATTGCATCTGTGCATTTTTATATTGGAAATTAAGATTTTTTGGAAACCGTGTTACCGTTAAATATGATGTACATTTTGTATGTAGTTTCTGCATTGTCAGTCCAAGCAGCACCCACATTCCCACACGGACATTCAAATCGTCCCTCTGCACATCTGCTGATTTTAGCACCCGAACTGAGATGGAGACTTTTCACTGGGGCTGCTACATGTGAAAAACACACTTCCCACCTCTACTTCACATTCCTGTTTCAGGAGCTACTTTCCTAATACGTAAAGAAAAAAAAGCAAACCAGGTCCTTGAGAACAAATATGACTCAGTAAGCTTTCAACTGCAGTTTTCCTGCTGTGCTTTCTAACGTACAAAGGGACAAAAAGTATCAAGTGTAAGGTGGAACCACAAAACCTTTCTCCAAACAAAACTTTCATTGGATGAAAGGATTCAGAGATGTTCTTGCACCCACTGTAAATCTATAAGCATAACCAAAGTCCATGAGCACCGTAGCACTGTAAAACAGACACCAAGGTGGGTCCACATCTTCTTAGGAACTAGATGTTATTCAGAAGCCCTGTATCATTAGGTCTACAGGATATCAGAGATATTCTGTAACTCCTTGTTTATTAACATAACCTGCCCCTAACTCAGAACACAGCAATAAGTAATTGCTCTTTCACTTACCCTCTGGTTATACATCTGAAAACATACTTTCTGGTTATACTCTTTCACTTACCCTCTGGTTATACATCTGAGTGTTATATTTACCTAGAAAACATACTTTATCAACCTACCAGGCTGCATTGGAGAAATTCCTCCCAAATGTAAATACTACTAAGGTGCTCCTCTTCACAGACCAGAAGCTCTATTAATCTTTGCTGGTATATTCCTTCTATTGTCCTGAGTGCTTCGTTAATGCTTAGTATTCTACTGACCGTATGGCTCTCCTCTACAGAATAGGAGCCATTCTCCATAACCCACAGCTCACCCAAAGAATACTCTCCACAACCACCACTTACCTACAGCCATACCTGTCAACCTCCTAAACATCAAATGTGTAGTAGTGACCTCCAAAATGCATTGCAAAGGCCCAACATTCATAGCAGTCATACGTCACCATGAGAAGCCACAACTGTATGGTTATAACACTGAAAGCATAGTACATAAAAACAAAAACATTAAGGACTTTCATCTCCAAAACATTATATAAAATAAATGTACAACTGAATGTAAAAATAAAATAATACAATGACAGCAACTAAACCAGAAAACAATAAGTATGCAAGGACACTTAAAATATAACTATAGTATGGTCCCATGAAGAAGGAAAACCAGTCATACATACATACTGGGAAGGTGAGTCATGTGTGTGCAGCTGATGTCAGTGAAATATCAAAGCTGCTAAAGAAGAAGCAAAGAGAGCACAAGCAGTACTGCTGAGATTTTAGTCATGCAAAATATTTAAGAAATAGCATTCCAGTCAGAGAGTGTGCAAGAAGCTCGCAGGAGGAAAATTTCCATTCCAACTTGCAAATCTAGTCAGTCTAGTCAGTCAGTCACATTCTTTAATTATTCATAGGTTTGCTCCTTAGTCTCAGGAAATCCTGTTATACTAACCTGTCCAAGTCTCCCACAGCCCAAGCTCTCTTAACTCCACCCTACCAGCATTCCACTTCTGAACTTCCCTAATGAGCACCAACACAAATCCCAGCACTACTCACCAGATACATCTGGAGTTGCACAGTACTAATTCTGCACCGTTTGCTTGTAACCAGAAACGGATTTTTTGCCAGACACACGCCCAACAAATCGTAACAGATCCAGTCAGTAACCCTCCATCACCTGAACTTGGACATAAAACTTCCAATTTATCAGGGTTCCTGTTGCATCCTCCTGCAATGCAGCTGCTGGGTGAGTGAGACCCACTCAACTTCTCTCAACAATGTTACCACTTAAAGAATTATGCCTTAGCAAGTCTGTGGAAGATAGATCTAACCCCAGCATCCTCCCAGCTCTTCTCTAAAAACTAACCCCTGCCACATATGCCTGGCTGCTGGAGAACTGGAAGGCATATTGACACCATAGTGTGCAGCACTGCCTGGAGATCCCAGGGAATAAACGGGTTCCAGAACCAGAAGCTGGTCTCTGTGCATTTTGATTCCTGTCCTTGAAGCAGTGTTGTGTTGGCACAGCACTAGTCTGAAAAAAAACACATTCATGCTCTATCTTCATTTTCACCATCCTTAATTACATTATTGCATTGTGGCATTGCTATTCTGTAACTCCAGGTAAAGCTCTCCAGAAATGCAGACCTGACTGGCATCCTGCAAGTTGCTACATTTCCCAAACTTCCACACTTAAAACACTACAGCAAGGGCTGGGTTCCAAGAACAGTCTCCATCCAATCCAAAGATCTTACTTTTGGATTTCCAACTTCCATGATGGCAGAGGCATGATGAAGTGCTAAGGTCAGTGCTGTGCCAGGCCTGACTACTTACAAAGTTAAAGGCCTGACTACTTTACAGTGTTAAAAAAGGGAAGTTGCTTCTTTGATTTCTGCATAAATTTTGAATTTCTGTAAATTTCTTGTGCTCTACATGAAGGAGGCCACTCCTGCAGAGTTCATCAGGCCACAGTACCATTAATGTAATATGGATACAATGCATGGGTATAACAAGACGTTGTTTTGTGTTTTTTTTTAATTTGTTTCTTTTCCTTCTCTTTGCCTGTACCATCTCAATGTATTTTACAGCATTAGCAATTTACAACTTCTAAAAAGGACACCAGTCCTTAGATGTGATATATGAAACACCTAATGTTCTACAAATTCCAGGCAGAGAGAAAGTAAATTTTATCAGACACTTCTAAAGCAGACGAGACATTCTGTGAGATACTGGTGGACATACTGTAAGCCATGCTGGGTAGATGCACCGCTGGCTCTCAGGCTTGTCACCAGGCATTTGTGGAACATCATTCAAAGAGAGGAATTTGGTGAGCTCCTAAGCACAAAGACTTTGAGAAGTCTACAGGTACAGCTCATGGGAAACGTGGGTCACCATGTATAGTTTAAACTGTAAATAATTACAGTGAGCTGTCACCTAAGAGCACAACATCTGGGTATTTGGGCTCAGGCCAGTCTCGAAAGGCAGAGCAGAGCACCACAAGCCACATGCAGCTGCTTCAGTGCAGTTGCAATGCTGTGAAGTTTTTCGCAAGCCCCGGTGCAGAAGGCAGCACATTGAAGGTGGCAAGTGTATTGAAGGTAGACAATGCAAGTCTAGAGTAATGACTAGACATATAAGGAACTGAAGACCTTTAAGCACAGTGCAAGACTTGAGTATCCAGAGAGGATTAGGACCCCTTTTTACTGAAGACAGGAAGGCCAGAGCAGCATTCAAAAAGGACAAACACTGAAGAGCAAGTGCAACCCAATGCCTGGTCCCAGCAAAGGTGCAAAACCACTGCTCTTATCAAGGGGGAGAGAAAGGACAGGTTCCACCATTTCCTCTCCCAAATAAGCTGTTAAAAAGTGAGGGATTTAGCTTCTCTAAACCCCTAATGGTCTCCCCTCACATTCCTCTCACCTTGGGGCCAGCCAAGTAAAGGAGATTATCACTGAGACAAGAAGCATGAGGAGCTGTGTCAAATCCCTCCTGGCACCATATGCCAGATCTCCAAAAGAATATCCTCCCACCTACGGCACAGCTAGCACGGGAGCAGATGCACAGCAGGGAGAGGCTGCAAAGGGTTATGGACACAGATTGGTCTCCATCTTAATGAAAACGTGGGATGTTGACAGTGGGAAACCCTCGCTCCATGACGGTCTATAAAACCTTGTAGCTGGAGTTGGACTGCAGCTGGCCGAGGTCACTCAGGTGCCAGTGGTCCAGTGTTGGGACGATCTTGGCCCCTATCTGCCCACGTACCATGCCATCCGCGAGGGGGAAGACATTCAGAGAGTTAGGACGTTCCTTCCTGCTAAACAGAGAAACAGAGAGAAAGGGGAAACCAATCTGTTAGCCATTTACAAGGTTCTTATAGAGAAGAAACATCACACTAGACTATGTGAAATATTGGTCACTAGAAACTGAATTGCACTCCTTCCCCTCATGTAACAGCCATATGAACTCCCAACTCCCACACTTCCATGGTGTTGTCTACTCAGACCCATGGTGTCTACTGCTAGAACCATACCTCTTCCTGGGGAGACTCTAAGAAAGAGGACAGGGTCAAGTGACCACAACAGGCACAGCTGACTTCTCCATCAGTACAAAACATTTTGGGGGAACGTAAAACTGCAGAAAATCATCAGCCAATTTAAATCAGTGTACCTTCTGAGAAACAAATGTACCGTGGGAAAGCAAGCCACACTTTACAACTCTCACAGCAAAAAAAAAAAAAAAAAAGCTCCCATAGATTCTAGAGATCTCATCACTGGGTCAGGAAAGAGGCTTTTAAGTGAGAGTCATCCTGATGGCACATTCCACCCCAAATCCGGTTAGCTCCAACAGCAGAAACCAGAGGGGTTTGGACCACTTCCAATATTAAACAAGAAAACGAATACTTGATCTCCTCTCCATACCCATATTACAGTGCACTCAAAATTCAGAAATTAAACAAAGGTATAAATGAATGCATCATTCATATTGCCAGATATCTGTAATTACGTTTTCCTCATCACCTTCTTTCTGACAACTGCAGGTGACTAGCTAGTTGCGGGTTTGATTCTCAATATATAAAAGCTGGCAGAGGTTTTGAGACCAAGTTCCAGTGGGAAAAAATCTAGAGCAAGCAGTGGAGGTGGAAAAGGCTGCCAGAATATACTGAAAATGGCAACTGGTTTCGTGCCAAAGAAGCAGGCCTGCAGGGACAGAGTACACATCCATGTAGGGAATAACCCTCCACTAGCTGGACTCCAGTGGCCCTGCAGAGACGGACTAAGCTGATCCTCTGTGTGACCTGCACCCAGAAAGGGATTTGATGATGGTACTTCACCTACTCCCGTGTGGGGCTTCCACCTATTGGTGCGGGGAGCAATGAAATCCGCACCTTCTGTAAAACAGGAGACCTTCATGTGCCTTTCTTTAATGATCAGCAGCGCTGGTCTGATGACCAGGCTAGCCAACCATCACAGCCACTTCACCCGTGCCCAGGAGGAGAAACAACTGCAGCAGGACCTAATGTCCCCCAGGTTGTATGTAAACACACCAACACAGGAGGTGGTACATGAAACAGCTCATTTATGAGGGAAGGAGGTGGAGTACCTAGCAGAGGAGATGGTGTTTGTGGAGAAACCCAAAATGTCCAGCTTTCCCATTCTCAACACTGCCCAGCCAACACAGCCGACACACTGCTGTGTCAGAGCTGCTTGTGCTGATGAACAATCGCTTGCCATGGCTTATCTTGGGTAGGCAGAAGAGGAAGAAACGTGTTCCCAGTGTGGCCCGGCAAGGATATTTGGGATGCACTTTTCCTAAGAATCTGCATTAAAATTCTCTCTTGAAGTTGATGAAGACTCATACATGGAAGTTTTATAAACAAACCCTCTTCCAAAAGCAGCAGGTAACTGGATTTTAGAGAAAAACAGATCACCTGACTAACCTGACTATCTTTTCTAGAGAAGATGCGATCATCTTTCAACAGATTCAAAACCAGATTCATATATGATAGGAATTGGCAGTTTCCTTGCAGCCTTTCCACTCTAAAGGCATCTTGGTGCTGGTTAGTTTTAAATATTAACAATCACTGAAAGTTTATAGAAAACATTCCACTGCTGTTTGCCTAAATACTGTTTGCTCTTTGCAATAAAATGCTGTTTGTGTAATTTCTGACCTCTATCCTGTCATTTACACCTGCTCCTAACAGTTCATGATGTCAAAGCACATTTACCTCTGTCTTCCTACATTTACCTCTCTTTATCCTACCGATACCATTCCAAGACCTTGAAAGTTTCTAACAGCCGTGGTTTAAGTTTCTAAATAACATATCAGGGAAATTTTTCCCCTGATATGAAATCTTCACCCACAGCACTGTACTGATCTAAAAGCCACAAAAAGTATACTTGATTATGTATAAGAGATTACGAAAAGATTCAAAACTAGAAATTAGAACTTATGCCCCAAGATGGAAAAGTCTGAGTTTTACAGTTAAAGAAGTAACTCAAGGGTCTCAAACAGTCTACTTCAAAAGAACCATTTTTTTCTGGGAGGAGGAAAAAAAAAGGCCATTTTTTGAGCTGCTTCAATCATTAGTTTCATTTCTTCCCTCTTCTTCAGGTTAGAATGATGGTCTTAAGGGAGTCATACATACAGGTGTACATAGCTGGAGAAAATTGCCTATAACTGCAAAACATTCCTTGCAAAACAAGTGGTGCCATCAGAATATCCAACAACATGCTATGACATAAACAGTTTTGTGACCATGTTGGGATGGCCTGATGTAACTCACTGGCCACACTGAGAAGTACAAGCCATCCCAAACATATGCTGAGAGAGACATTATACTTTCTCTTTAGGTAATTTCTATCAGAGTTCTCTTCAGAACTCCTATCTTATTTCTACGTTCATATACAAACATATGCACATTTAACAAGCAAGGAGCTACAGCACGTCACTGAATGTAAAGAGAACGTATGAACTTCACAGTCCCTGTTAAACAGAGAACAAAGGTACAAAGTCTCCATAGCATCAGAAGCTGTAGGATCTTTAGGAAAGGAGTTTAACATAGACTGTAAGGCAATTTCCTTGCTGAGCTTCTTTGGAAACACCTTCAAAATTCTTCTGAACCTCCCAGGGAAGGGGAAAGAGCAAACACCATAGAAGACCCAAATTCAGCTTTGCAGTCCTGGGGCTGAGCACCAGTGTGCAAAGAACTTCAGAGTATCCTCAGGGATAGTCTACATTTCGAGTGCTGGAGTAACCTTTACATACCCAATTCTCTCCAGTACAGGGTGACACTTGGTTAGTTCTACCTTACGTTACAAGGTAAATATCAAGCTCCTCTATAAAGGTTTCCAGTGGCCAAAAACTGGGATCAGGATGCTCTACAAGTACCATCCTAAAGCTTACAAAACATAACAAAACTATGATTTGTTTGCCAGCATATAAAGATGAGAACTGCTCTCTTTGCAGGCTCCGGATGTAGAACTCGCTTCCCAGCCCAAAGCCAGAAGAGCCTTCAGAGACATGCTAACATACTGACACATGCTTTCTGCCCCACTCAGAAAATATGCATGCCTAATACTCTACAGTAAAAATAAGGGAGAAAAGATTACTTTTTTAAAAATTCTGGGACATAAAGTGTAAACATCCAATCACAGAGGACTGATCCTGGGTTGGGACCGAACTTCCGTGCCCTCTGTGTTTAAGCACTAGCTTCCTCTTTCTGTGTTACCCCAGCAGCTTGGTGGCTCCCTCTGCCTCACCTGAACGAGCAAGTCTAACACGGGAGCCAGCAGACAAAGAGGCCACACATGCCAGTACAGTACATTCCCAGCATGACACTGCTGCCACCCAACAACAACTTCCAAAACTAGGATTAACAAAGTTAAGATGCAGCAACAGGATTTACCTTTTCCTCCATGACTGGCGATGACTGCAGTGACAAACATAACAGCCAAAACAGAGCGGCAATCGCACAAAAAGCGAGACAAAAAAACAACCATTAGAGAGCAAAGTCATGCAAACATGCAGACCTACAACAGATAGGGGGTACACGTGCACTGCAAGCCACACCAGGTGGAAGTGTGCACCGTACCTGTTACCCCTCCTGGATGGCAGTTGATTCACACACACCCCAACAGTTCTTGCACAAACTTCTCCCAGGTGACAGGCAAACACACTCGCCGTTCTTACGGTTTTGTGCAAATACATGCCCCTATGCAGTCAAACACACCCAAGCACATCCACAGATGAAAATAAATAAATGCACTCAAATTTGTGTGACAGGTCATGAGAAATTATGCCTGTCCCCCCAGGGCACACCAGTGCACCAAGATGCACAAATGCTGGTATTCACCCCTACCCAGCTGTGCAGAGATACAAAACCACACATCTGTCCCAAGTGCTTGTGCACAAGCACATACAAACACAGAGCTACACACACACGCACACACACCAACAGTGCAAAGCTTGAAATGAAGGAAAACGTCCCATTTCCCACTGGCGGTTCCTATAAACTCAGATCACAGCCCCATCGGGGGCTTTTGTAGACATACAATGTTTCTCTTTTTTTCTCTCCAAGGAGACTAGCAATATGCCACGCTTAAAGGGTAAAAGACTAATTTCTCTAATATGAAGAGGCAATTCTTAATGAAAATTTAGCCCTTCATCCCAGAGAACAGCGGTCCTGCAGATATAACCAGTAACACTTTTCACTGTGCATCTCTTTCTCAGAATGGTTAACATAAAGCCAGAGTGAATATTAGCTTATTTGAAAGTTAGGGAAGGAAAATCACATTAAAATCAGTTTCTACCATGCAGTGCAACTCAAATTCAGCAGGTGTATATATGAACCACCCTGTAAAAGAGGGAGGCCCTAAGCATGCTTTTGCCTATGGTGCTTTTATATTTTACTGTGTAAGTCCTTCCACAGATACATTCTTATTTACAGAAGGGTAAGTGGAAGGGAAACAATCTTGACGCACTTATCCCATTTCAGCTGTAACACTAGGATCAGACCATGTTCTGTGAGCTCACTGTGGACTTCCAGACCGCGAGGGGGAGAGAAGAAGAAAAATAATCTGATAAGGGAGATTTTATCAACACCTACAAACTACTGGTTCTTTGTACACCATGTTTCCTCTTGCTTTCTACATATATTATGCCTGTCTCTTTTGCCTAGGAAGGCTGCCATCTATCTCTTGCTATTTTTTTTTCCCAATAGATTTTTATATTTTACACAATCCAATTTTAGCCAGACTTCAAACACTGTATTCTGTAATTATTATTACTCTCCTGAACTACTCTCTGTTGTGAGATTCATTTACTGTTTTGCAGAAAAAAGAGAACAGAGTAAACTCGCTATACAGCCCACTCAACAACTGCAACAGCCTTTAGTTAGTCCTCTCTAGAAGAAATACTGTAAGATATTCTTTTCTGAAAGGACTGTTTGACTCTCAGAAGAGGAAGGGTAAGTAGTCCCCGTTCATTCACACAGAACTGTGTCCTTCCTTCCTTAATGCAAGGCTTTGGTAGCCTTACAAATGAGAATATAAAAATCTTACCAACTGATTCAGAATAAATAATGGCTCTTTCTTTGAGACACCAGTATCTTCCAGCTGCAAGTTATTCTTGTAGCCAAGACTACAGAAGTATATTTTTAATTATTATGGGAGGTAATGAAATAGCAAATAGAGAGCTTTGGAAAAATTCTTCACTGAGAGGGTGGTGAAGCACTGGAACAAGCTCCCCAGGGAAGTGGTTGTGTCTCCAAGCCTGTCGGTGTTCAAGAAGTGTTTGGACAATGCTCTTAGATATATGGTTTAACCTTTAGGTTGCCCTGTGTGGTGCTGGGAGCTGGATTTGACAATCCTCATGGGTCCTGGACAAGATCAGGGTATTGTATGACTCTAAGGCTACAGGGAATATGGCCGGAGTCCCAGGCTAGTTACCAAAGTTTCTGAAGATCCGTGTCTTTTACTACTCCCTCTCTATCCTTCAAGCCTCCTCCATTGCCAAAGTGGGGTTGGGTCTCTTTTTCTCTCCCTTTTTTACAATACACACTCAAAACTTTTGCAATTTGAATTCAGACTTTTCCAGAGCAGTTCAGTACAGCAACAGGGAGCCATAGCAGACTGAGAGTATTTACATGTCCTATGCCAAGACCTGAAACTTCCTTTCTATTACATTACCCCCAAATCAACTGACATTCTGGTATTTAAGTGTTACAGATGTAAATAAAAATTACTAAAATATCCTCACTTATTCTTCCTTTATTCTTAACACCTTTCTTTATTCTTAATTTCGAATAACTTTGCTGTTTCCTCATCTCCAAATTTTGCTCAATGCTCTTCTTTTGTATTTCATCATCCCAACCAGAGGATACTTCAAATACCTCCACGGCTTTCCATTTATCTGTTTTCCCAGTATTTTCATCTCCGTGTCTTTGCACAAGCTGCCCTTTTCTAAGCCTAATGCTTCCCAAAGATTTGATTTTTGAGTGAAGTTCAGTGATATTACCCAGCTGAAGTTCACAGATATTAACTAAGATCAGTCAGAGCCAAAGGAGAAGGCACCTAGCAGGCATTCTTTTCTGAGTATTCCTGTGCAGCTGGTACTGTCTCTGTCTATTTTTCAGACCAACAGCTCCCATGGCTTTTGGTCAGCATGTGTGCAAAAACTCCTCAAAGTCAGAAGAAATTAAAAAAAGAAAGGCAAGGACAAGAAAAAGATTTCATTTCCTGCAAGATATTACTTGGTCGATATTGTTCCCCTGGAAAACACTGTCTAAAACTTCCTGGGTTAGATCATGTCACTATAGTGTTAATCATCTCATTATCATGTGATGATTAACACAAATGGTAATCTGCCATGCGTAAAAATTGCCACAGAAAACGTCTTTTCTAGGGCTGAGTGACTTAACAGATTATGTTTCATCTGAGTAGATTATCTGTTATGTGATCTATTAGTTCTCTAACCAGTACCTATGGAACATCACTTCTACTTCTCAACCCTTTGTAGGAAAAGAGTACAAAAAATCCTGTAATGGCTAACACATTTAATTGCTACAGTTTTGCTGCCTGTCACACATACAAACACACACACACACACAAATACCACATTTGACACCTCCATCCCTTTTATGGATAAACATTCTACATGCTCCCTGAGAACACAAACGTATTTTTCCAGAGGCCCCCTAGCAATAGCAGCATGACAAAGACTAAGCTTTGTAACAGAACACATCAAGTTCCTCATCAACAAGCCTTAGAAAACATACCCAATTCACCCACATCCCATTACAAAAAAAGTTTCAACTACAATCCATGCCCACAGGGAAAGATCCTGCTTCTGGTTTCTTTCTCTCAAATACATGCACTCAGTTTGTAAGTTCCTGCATAGCAAACGTTGCATGGAGAGGTTATGGCCCTACCTTCTCCCAGGTAGACTCCCCTCAGTTTGATTATTTCCCCCAACCTGCTGCATCTTGGATCGCTCAATGTGTTCCACATAGGTCTGGATCATCTGTGAGGAGAAAAAAATCCATAAGCCATAAAGAGGAAAAGAAAAAACCGCATTTCTGCTTTTGACTGATCTTCTCCAGGATGCATTTCCAATTCCTTTTCTTCTTTTGTGCATCTCCCCATCTTTGCTCATCTTCTAAGCTGATGATGTAAGTGAATGGACTAATCTGACAGAAAATCTGTCAGCAAATTGTGTCAGAAATTACTTTAACTCAATCTCATAACATATGAGCCATCAAAGAGCACATCCAAAAATAACATAAACATCTCCTGGAGGCTCAGTGGCAGTGGGAGATGAGGTAGAGGGGCATTGTTCACAGAATCACAGAACAGTTGAGGTTGGAAGGAACCTCCTGAGGTCCATGAGGTCCAACGTCCCTGCTCAAATGGGGCTACTCAGAGTAAGTTGCCCAGGACCATGTCGGCTTTGAGTATCTCCAAGGATAGAGACTCCACCATGTCCTTGGGCAACCTGTTGCAGTGCTCATCATCCTCACAGTAACAAAGTTTATACTCATGTTCAGAAGGAGCCTTCTGTGTTCCAATTTGTGCCAGTTGCCTCTGATCTTATTACTGGACACCTTTGAAAAGAGCCTGGTTCCATCCCCTTTACGCTCTCCATTCAGGTATTTCTGATGTTCCCAAAGTTCAGAAGCTCTAGTCACCACTAGTATTCTTTGACATGACTTTACATATAGGCTAAGAGTTTGTTTATTTAGAAATAATGAGATGACATCCTACCTCTGTGTGACGTTGATGTAGAGCATTATACTCTTTCTTCATTTCTGATTCACGTTCCTCCAGTCGTGAAACTAGCAAGGGAAGATTCCAACCATCAGCTAACACACATCAGGCTCTCAAAATAAACTAGAAGTCTCAAAGCATATTTTGTTAGAAATTAATTTATATCTTCTGAATAAAACAAACCAAAACAAAATAATGTACATTATGTGGGATCTGGTCTTCATTACAAACTCAATTTATGGCTACCTGCATGTTCCCAAAAAGATCAGAACAATAAGCAGTGCCACAAGACCATAGAAGCAGAATTCTTCAGCAGTAGCCTGGTGCCCCCTAAGTGTCCTCGTTCGACAACAATTTAAATCATCCTCTGGGGTGGGTGCCTCTGGCTATCTGAGGAGCAGTGTACTGGACAAAACACCAATGAATTCTGAGGAGAACCTCAGCCAACACAACACAGCTGCACATGTTAAGGAAGCATTTGTAAAAATAAATTAATAAATAAATGTGTGTGTTTATATGAGAAAAAAAAATGGGGGGTTCTATTCAGGGACAAGGAGAAACTGGAAACCAGGTTCCAAACCTTCACCAATGGCCCAGACCTTGCATCTGGAGAGACAGAGCACACCCCACACAAGAGAAATGTAGGGGCAATGAAGCCCCTACCAAGTTAGTGTGGATACATCCCATCCTTTAGAAGGCTCAGAATTTTGTACCAAAGTAAGGGATAACCAGGAATTTCAAGCTTCTTGTAAATTACATTAAAACAAACAAAAAGAATGAAAAATATTTTCAAAGTAGCAGTGTATGTGTATGAAAGGCAAAATGTATAATCGTGTCTAGTGTATGACTTTACTTACTCTGATCTGCATAATTTTTGGTCTTCAGCTCCAGCTGTCGAGTCTGAAATTCAAGGTGTTCCACTTGGATTTGTAGTTCTTTCTTTTCCTGCTCCAGTGCATCTTCAAACTCTATAAACTTCTGAATAGGGAAGAAGCAGAGAAAGAGGCACAGATGAGGAACAAATGTAAAATGTGCTTGCCCTATATGACTTTTCCTCTTCTCACAAAGCAAGAAAAATTGAGAGAATATAAATTACAAAATAGGAAGTAAGAATTTTTAAGTGCTGTAATTACTATAATAGCATTTAATCAAGCCAAGGAGACTATTTTATGTGATGAAGTATTAGCTCTATTTAGTATATAATTAATACATAAACTATGGTCCAACATGAGTTATGTAAACCAGTGCACCTCTATCGTCTTCAGCAACACTGTTCTTTCTTATGCCAGGCTGAATTTTGATTTCTGTTAATTTGATGTCAGAGAAGACAAATTCTATTCCTATGTCATATATGTCAGAAACCTTCAGACCAATTCTTCTATTTGTGCAGTTTTAGAAAGCTTCACGTATAAATCAAGTGGTGGGTAGGTTTTGCAGAAATGTGCAAGTCTTGTGGGAAATGTATCTGGGGAGCTGAGAGCACCCTCTGCACCCAGAGACCTGACCCAGCAGCAAACCCCAGACGGACTCCGTGGTGCCTGGGAGCCGAGGGAAGGAGGAGATTCTTGCAGCAGAATTTAACAAATTCCTATCTAGAAAGAAAAAGCTTGGGCAGCTGTTCTTGGCAAAGAAGGGAGGGAAGGGATCATTGCTGCTCTCATTAGCAACAACAAAGTGGCAGCTCAGCACATCACAGTGGTGACTCCTGCACAGAACACAACAGAAAAATACTTGATTTCAGGTTATTAGTTCTGGAAAATGTCGCTTTTGACCTGTGAGCTTCAGCCATTTGCTGCACCGGATACTTGCACACACTGCAAAGAAAACTAAAACCTGTGAAACATCCAATTCAGCTACTCTGTAGTGAACTGATACAACATACTACTCTCGGTAAGAGCTGCAGTCACACTTGCTTTCATGAAATACTTAAATTAAACAGAGTCCTTGGAAAGTGAATAACACCTTCCAATCTCTGAGTATACTTAAGCAAGCCTGGTTCTTGTGCTGTATGCGGTCATGAGAGTTTTTTCTGCACAAAACACTAACACATACCCATATGCAATAATGACCCATATTTCTGGACTCAGAAACTGAGCTGGTTCCAATAACAGCCCTGACTCAAACTGGTGGAGAAATGAATAAGGATCAGAAAACTTTTTCCTTTTTCTGTTAATCACATACACCCTCTCCACAGCAGGCCAAATGCAAAGCGCGGTCCCACCACACTTCCAATGGTGCAGGACACCAAAGCCATCTCACTAGCTTCAAAACGAGTCCTATCCTAGCCTTATGAACCCAAAAATTTGCGTCTTGTTATATTATTACTAAACAGCTACATGCAGGGAATCTAAACCAGTGTTGCCCGCACCAACCAGTCCAGTAATTAAAACACACACCTGTCAGGTGAGCAGCAAAGAGCAGGACTGAGGCTGGGAGCAGCCCTGGATTCAGAGCTGCAGAGGAATAGAGCGAGCAAGAAGTAATACCAAGAGGGCTTTTGGCTACCTTTAAGATGTTTATGGAGCAAGAGGAGCCCGCAGGAGGCAATATGGGGCTATGAGGAGCTCACAAGGGCACTGTGCTCCCAGCCCGGCCTCTCCTCCTCTGCATCTGCTCACAAAATACACACACACAAACAGAGCCTGGACACAGAGAAGAAAAGCCTGCTCACAGGGGAAAGTGTTGCTCTGTGCCACTCAAGGGAGCATGGCAATTTTAATTAATCCATGTAAAGCCTCATTATACTCTAAAATGAAATGACTGGTGAAAATCATTTTTGGATAAGATTCCCTGGGAAACAAATGCATTTAAATGCACAATAACACTAATTTGTTAAATTTTGCACATGAAACAATATGCACAGTATCTGGCTGTGTTCTCAGGACAAGCCCTGTGCACGTCTCCTGTGACTTTTAGGGGAATGATTAGCAGTGACACTGGCATCGTTATGTTTGTGAACTGGATCTTCTCTCTGCAGACAACTGAAAGGCTACATCATTTATTATCCTTGCAGACTTTTAGAACTGTTCAGTAAATTCATCTGTACAATGAGTCAGTTTTCATTCCTACATATCTGTATTTATAGAAACAATCAAGTGCATTTTAGCTACATCTCATTTTCCTGCACTCACTGTTCTGCAGTGCCTTTAATCTTCAACTGGGCCTTTAACTTTCTTTTCCTTCCTCCCCGAATTTATTGCAATAAGGGTGCTTTTTTCCCCTTAGGTTGTTTTCCACCAGTATTTTCTAGAAAAAACAGAAATACCAATACCTATCTTCCACTATAAAGGAGTTATCTCAGAGGCTAAACATTTACTTTTTAATTAATTTTTTACAAGATTTCAGGTTTTTAAGTAAGCATTTTTTCTCTGAGATGTCAATTGAACATTGAAATCACTTAATCACTCACAAATATCCAGAAATCTATTTTATGGATTTTGAGAAATTTATAAAGCAATGTGCTTTGTCAGATTTATTCTTGAACCATTTTCCAGAATAACAATATAATTTCAGAATGAGTAAAAAGAAAAAAAATTCCTAACCGACCCAGCTACACTGAGCAAGAGACCTAGAGGAGCAGCTGTTTAACTTGCTCCATTTGGAGGACTGAGGAAAGCTACACCAACAAAAGAGCTATTTTTCCTGGTTATAATCTCCATCTCCTCGCAGGGTTTTGCTGGAACCACTCTGTGCAAAAGCTCTATTGATGAACCCTTTTAATTACAGCCAAGGGCTAAATCCCCATCACATCATACTGGCTCAGCTTTCACCGCCTCCTTGGCTCGAGACGTCCTCCTGCTCCATCCAAGAACGTGCCACCCAGGCCAGGCAGGAATGAGGTTTTTAGCAGCAATAAAAATGAACGAATGGTCTTTAAGGAAAATATTCACAGATTTCCTGACAGCAAATTAGGAAGGAAAAGAAGGTACAAGGCAAACTTTACTCCCACTATGTAGGTCATCTTTAATAAGATTCCTGGATTTGCTACTGCTGTTTTGGTTTAATTCAGTGGAAAGTGATTGAAAGATTAAATCTTCTACAAACATGGCTCAGTCTTCTTATTCTTATTGAGGTCTACTTTGCAACCTCAAAGTAATCAAAGAAGCAGAAAACTAGAAATCAATTAACTATTTGGAGGAGAAAGAGACAGAGAGACAACAATATTAAAAATTAATGTCATCCTAAGTATCTCGGGGAAGAACAGCATTTCAGATAAAGGTATTGCAGCATATCCTGTCCTGTCCGATGGAGAGATCGAAGGACGGGATTTGTGCACGGGGAGCTAGGGGTTCTCTGTGCTCCCTGCTTCTGAGGCACCTGCATCAGCCGCCATCTCATCTGAGGTTCTCCCTGGGCATCGGAAGGTCGGAAGGGCTGAGAGGAGGAAAAGTCCCCGACCCAGAGAGGAGCGAACAGCCAAGGCAGCAAGATGAGGAGGAGATGTTTCACTGCCAGGGCTGTCCCCAGGGAAAGCGTGCTCCCGACTGAGGAGACGGCTTAGCACAGGCTGTGACTGCTGCACACCCTTCGTGGTACAAGCGAGCTCTCACCAGGGGATTCATGAAGGCTTTATTTTTTTGCCAAGAAGCCAGCAGCAGGTATTTCGTGTAGCATCCAAGGCAGAGCCTTACTAACCACTGAAAACAGCAGAGATCGACATGGCCTTGCTTAGGAATATGAGCACATCCACAAGCACAACGAAGTGGTGCCAGCAGTATAGGGAAAACAGGTGCTTCAGGCACATTTGTATTACTCTTGTGAGCAACAGCCTCCAGAAACAGAGACAGCAGAGGCAGCACCTTCTCTGCTGACAGATGCTGTGCCCTGGTCCTCAGGCTGTGGTTCACAGGCCACGGTGTGCGGTTGCGATGTCCCAGCCTAGCAGCAGTCCCTCTCCTGCCCAAACTCATCCTGCCAGCCACATCCCCGGCACACAGCAGCTCCCCCCCCACCAACCCTTCCCCTCCCGAGCTGCCACAGACACAGACCCGGGCAGGAGAAGCAGAGAACAAAACTGAATAAAGTATTTTAATTTTTAATTTTTTTTTTATTAACCAGACTCCCAGAGGCAGTTATGCTTTAAAACCAAGTCTGTATTATTGAGTGAATGCAGCTCAGTAAATAAACACTATAGACATTTCACATTTTCCATGTTTTTCAGGCAGATGGGGTACAATCCGGGCCCTCCTGAAGCTGTGGGAATGTTCTCAGTCACTCAAACAGGACCAAGGTTTCATCCTGACCTTTTAAACCTCCTAACAAGTAACAGGCGTAGGGGACACTAACTTGAAAGTCACCTTCCCATCTGAACATTTTCTGTCTGTAATATTTACAAAAAGCACCAAAACAGTTATAATAGAAAAAGAGTCCTTATGGTTTACTCTTGTTCCTTGTGTTTTTCATCTAAGTTCATGCACAGCCCGTCCTATCTAAACGCTGCAGTTTGATGCACGTAGATGAAGCTCCATGTGTCTGTGGGTGCTAACCAAAATCAGCAAGCCTTCATAATGGAAAAGAATATTCACATGAATCAAATTCATACTTCTGGCCTCAGAAATAGTACAAATTCCAATGGCTTACTGAAAGCAGATACTGCAGATATTACTCTTGCTTCATCATAAATTTAAATATTTAACAGGGTAAGAGTGGGCCAAAAAAAAACCAAACCAGAAAACCCCCAAGCTCACACAGCATAGCTTAATACATCCAGAGTACTAAGTTTAAAAACTGAAATGCAAATTTGCTGACTGCATTCTTTCACTTTAGTGCTGCCAAGAGGCAAAAAAAAGGCAGGGTGCTAGCAAAGAACCACAGGCTTGACTTGCTGCTGTGAGCTGCCCGGGATTTCACGGGGTTTCTCCTTTGCAGAGCCAGGTGCCGCAGTTGATTTTCTCCAATGGTTTTCCTGCATGGAGCTCAGTTCAGATCCAAACCTCAATGATTCCGCAGCTCCCAGACTCCATCTTTATGGAGATGCA